TTTCCAGGATATTATAATCTGAAATATCTCTAAAGACATTTGAAAGACTATATTTAAAAATATATAATGTCTTATTATCCTTTCCTGAATATGACAGATAAATTAAATGTGACCTACTTATGCTTTGGACCCCCTGACAGCTTCTAAAGGCCCCTAGCAGTCCCTGGACCCCAAACTGGCCCCTACTGACCCAGACTAATCCCCCGGGAAGGAACAGCAGTCCAACATGCACAGTGTATCAATCCTCAGGGGGGTGTGCTGTTGCTGAGTTGTTGTCACTCGAGTGTTTATCTGCCAGACTGCCTTCATCTCTAAGGCGTTACAAAACCCTGTAAACATTCCCTTCTGTGTAACATCGCTGCACCTTCCACATTTTCACTTGGTGCCTGCTATATTTGAGCTTGGTGTAAAAACAGAGCCGGTGAGTGGTCTGACTGCAGGATCAGTTATCTGCAGCTCCCACAGATGCCCCTTTCACACCAACACGGTTCCAGTTTAGCTCCGTGCTAGAGCTCTTCTGGTTCGGAACCGGTTTTTATTTTCAGCCCCCGTTTTGTTCACACCGCCCAGAGCCCTACTGGTGCTGCCGCTGCTGCATCATGACGTCACCGTTTACGTCGCTGATTTTCTCCCCAACGGCGTCGGGTCGATGATCGTGTTGCTTTTAATCATACAAAGCCAGATTAAATTAAATAACTACTCCTCAACCCTTGTACTTTTCTCCAGAGTCGTGGTTCATTGTTTATAATGTGTTTCAGCAGCATTACCGACCGCTGCAGTGCTGCCCGCTGTTTGGCATCACAACGCTGTTATGAAAGTTTCTCTGGTATAACATGGGTGATGTTAGCATAGCAACCGAAGCTAAACTGACTATCTTGACTACTTGTTGCTATCCTATTGTGGCATAAGCCGTTTTCTACAGGCACATTTTACCGGCGTATTTTTCATTATGATTCTGCTTGTGATAGTCAGACACGACAACCTGTGCAGCCCATGTATTGATTCCATCCGATAGCTGCTATAATACAAAACAAAACGTCTGCCTCTCTCCACAATGATCAATAACAGCGAACGGATGGTCAAAGTAAGGTACAAATAAACAGAATCACACGAAGCCTAGTGTTGCCTGACTTTATAAAGTGTGTTTTTTTTATAAGTGTGTGGTTGCGTTCTAGTCACTTTGGTCAGCGCTACTGCTTGTTACAACTTTCATTTGCCGTACTCGCCATAATCTGTTATTGCTCAGGTTGATCTGCCCCCGCCTCCGACGTAAGCGGTTCTTGTTTCTAGACCGACAATTTTTTGGTGCTTGAAAAGCACCGGGTTTCGGAGCTTAGAGCCGGCTCCGCTGCGTTGTGAACAGGAAAAACCGGTGCTTTTCAGGCTTTAGCTCCGAACCGGCCCTAGAACCGCGTTGGTGTGAAAGCCCCAATAGAGGAGCTGGGCTCTTATGGCGCATTTCCACTATAGTGCGGTTTAAGTGTGCTGTGCCCGGCCCGTGTTTGGTTGCGTTTCCACTAGGCGTAGTTCCGGCTAGCGGGTACTTTTTCACAGTTTTCTAGCTCTCCAAAATCGAGGTTCTTTCTGGGCCAACAACCGGGCTAAGTATGCTAAACTAGTGAGGGAATCGCTGGCAACTACAACAAAATGAACATATTTGATCGTGATTTAATTGTAATACACGTTTCAAAATGATGCCGAAGTAACAACATACTGAGTTAGTAAAAACCATGAGTTAATGCTTTGACAAGTCTGCAGACAGACGGCAGGCAAAAAACCTTTTAAAATGCGTGTTTTCTGAATGGAGATCGGCTAAGCTAACGCTGTATATGCTCCGACCGTCAGAGACATGTTTTGTACATGGCCCTATAATATATTGTTCAAATATAGTATAGTAGGTGACCTTTAATGAAAGTGATCATAATTTTGTTCTTGTGGAAAAACGTAGAATACTTCTACCATGTTATTTTTCTGCCACTAACATAAAATAATAATAATAATAATAACTTTAACTTATATAGCACCTTTCATCAACCCAAGGTCGCTTGACAAAGAAACATATGAGGACAAGACATACAACAGGGGGGGCAGGAATGGAAGTGTTACATATGAGGGGGGAAGAGTGAGTTCATGTTGGAAGGCTTTGTTGAACAGATGAGTTTTTAGGGTTGTTTTGAAGATGTTCAGAGAACCTTTATCCCTACATATCCCATTCCTTGTGTCTATGGATTAAGGACTTCCTGTCTGATCGCCCCCAGAGAGTGAGAATTGGCACCCACACCTCCACGTCCCTCAGTCTCAGCACCGGATCACCACAGGGCTGCGTGCTGAGCCCCCTACTATACGCCCTCTACACCTATGATCTCGTCCCCGCCCACACCAGCAACTCCATCATAAAGTTAGCTGATGATACCAAGGTGGTGGGCTGCATCTCAGGGGGTGACGAGACCGCGTACATGGAAGAGGTGGAGCAACTGCTAGCGTTGTGCAAAGTAAACAACCTGCAGCTGAACAAGCTGAACACCCAGGAAATGATCATTGACTTTAGGAGGAAGAAGACCGTCATGCAGCCCCTACATTGATGGAGGCTGTGTGGAGAGAGTCTCAATGATCAAACTCCTGGGCGTTCACCTGGCGGAGGACCTGTCCTGGAGGACCAACACCACGGCAACCGTCAAGAAGGCACAGCAGAGACTCTACTTCCTGAGAATACTCAGGAATTACCACCTCAGACAGGACCTGCTTGTGTCCTTCTACCGCTGCACCATGGAAAGCATCCTCACCGACTGCATCTGCGTGGTTCCTCAGCTGCACAGCCGCAGAGAGGGGTGCGCTCCAAAGGGTCATCAACTCGGCCCAGAAGATCATCGGTTGCCCCCTACCCTCCCTGGAGGTACTGTACGGCTCTCGTTGCCTTAAGAAGGCAGTCAAAATCCTTAAGGACCCACACCACCCGGGTAACGAGCACTTTGTACGGCTGCGCTCAGACAGGCGCTTCCGTACCATGTCTTCCCGGACAAACAGACTCAAGTTCAGTTTTTTTCCCAGGGCCATATGTGCACTAAACGCTGCTAATATTTAAATTATATAAGCCTTCCGTGCAATACGAGGGGAATCGTGCAATTTAATGTATTATTTATTTACATATTCCCTATCATGTCTATTTTAAGTCCCATTTATTGTTTTTATAGTGTCTTGTTTTTATATTGTCTTGTTGTTTTTATATTGTCTTGTTGTTGCGTGTTGGCACCTTGAGTTTATTGTAATTTCGTTGTACCTGTACAATGACAAAATTAAAGATCTATCGATCGATCTATAAAAACATTTGGTAACGAGTCAAATTTGACTCGAGGATGACAGGAAGTTAAACAGGAAAAATAGGTGAGTCGTCCACATGTAGAAATGTGTCAAAGTCAAAGTCAACTTTATTATCAATATCTCCAAATGTGTGGTTCAAACAGGGAGACCAAAATGCTGTTTCCCACTGTCCCAAAGATTAAAATATATATATATATATATATATATATATATATATATATATATATATTAGGGCTGTCAAGTTAACGCGTTAATAACGCGTTAACGCAAAAAAAATTAACGCCACTAATTATTTGAACGCGATTAACGCATGTGTATTTTTTGTCCTCGGCCGCCCCGTAGTTTCAGAGCGCATCGAGTTTAAAATACCATCTACAAGCTGATGCTGACAGCCCCGCTCCTGCCGCCCGCTTGTGGCAGACCACACTTCCACGCTCACCGGCAGGCACCGACTGGCTGTTGGGAGGACCGGGAGGGTGTGTGTATGTGTGGCCCGAGCGAGCGAGAGAGAGACCTTACGTGCATTGTTGTTGTTAGCATCTGGTGCTAGCTAGCTGCGCTAACGGATATGGAGCTGTTTAAATGAAAACAGAGGAGCGACATTTCGCCACAACTGCGCCGAGCACTTGACTTTATGCAGGAAGCCAGACAGTGGGACATTGTACGAGAAGTCAGCACGGATAGTGCGCAACATGATTGCAGCGTCCAGGCAGCTCCCGTTCGAGCATATGCCTTGAGTTGCACATAACCACACACACACACACACACACACACACCACACACACACACACACACACACACACACACACACACCACACACACACACACACACACACACACACACACACACACACACACACACACACACACACACACACACACACACACACACACACACACACACACACACACACACACACACACACACACACTCACTCACACACAAGTTGTATTGTATTATTGTATGAGAGAGGTTCCAGGTTGAATTGAGGCGAATATTTGTAATGTTCAGAGGTTGTTGTGTTTAATATTCATGAGGATATTTGTCATTGTTCAAATGATAATAAACATTAGCATAAAGCATATTTGTCCACTCATATGTTGATAACAGTATTAAAAACTTGAAAAATATTCCTCTAAGGTACATTTAGAACAGATAAAAATGTGCGATTAATTTGCGATTAATCGCGATTAAATATTTTAATCGACTGACAGCCCTAATATATATTATATATATATATACAAAATATTAAATAAGGGCACAACAATAAATATATAGAAATAGGAGTCTGGGAGACAAAAAACGGTTGAATACATGACAAGGAATGAATATTGAACAGTGCAAATAATTCAAATATCTAGAGGTATAGTGCAATAAGTGTCCATAGCAGCTTAGTGTCCTCTCCATGATTCCTATTGGTCCACGAACCACAGCTTGAGAAACATGTGGCCTAGACAGTAGTTACTGATGTCTCTGGTCCTTTTTAGATTCTCGTCTTTGGGATTCGTATCGCGGTGAGCTGGAATGTTTGGAGCGCGTCCCTTCCCTGTCACCGTGTCTGTCTAACCAGGCGCGAGGCTCAGCGCGCAGCACCGTCTCAGACTGGAGGACTGTGGAATCCTGGGGGGCTACGCTGTTTCCTTCGGACTCCAAATGTAAAGTTAAACCTGGAGGTTCAGCTATGAAGGAAGAGCAAAGCTGTGAGGAGACGCAGGCGACTCGGGAGGTCAAGGATCTGTTCGAAAAACCTGCTCAAGAAGAGGAGGATGCCCCGGAGAAGCACGACGAGATGAAATACGTCGATGTGGAGTTAGCTGATGTTAACACAGGCGAGGCAAAACTGGAGAAAGACTGCTGCTTTGGTGAAGGAAACCAAATGTCCGTCCTTATTAACAGCGGTGTCGCCGAGGATCTGCGCGCAACGGAACCAAAACTGTCGATCAAAATCAATATTGCGACTAACAAGACAGAGGATTCCGAAGTTGGGAAATGTACACAAGATGTCAAGGAGGGTCCTTCTGAACCGTCCTCGTTATTGGATCCCCCCTGTAATAACGCAAAGTCAGGGAATCAACCCAAATCAGGAGACAAAGGCGAGCGCGTAATTACGCAATTGTCCAAAACAGAAGAGAACCCAATCACGCCCAGAGGTGAGGGGTTACCCTGCAGTGACACTGATCAGTGGAGGAGTGAGGATGATTATGAGGAGGATGATGATGTTAGTTTGGTGCTTTCATACGCCTGTGTCCCGTGCGTCACGGAGGATGAGTCCCATTACATTACCACGCACGAGATCCAGCTCTCCGAGCTTTCCGACCACGAGGAGGACTACGACCTCGGGGTGGCCTCCTCCGGCTGCTGGGACATTGAGGATGACTACCAGGTGTACTCTTTTGTCAATTATGCTTCTTTTGAGGGCGATGAAGAGGAGGGGGGCCGGGGCTCGCGCGGCCCCGCAGCAGGAGTCAGCACTATGCTTGAAAGTGATCTGTGCGACGCGGCCAAGTTCCCCAGCTCAGATGAGAGTGTGTCAAAGCCCCAGCAGCAGCAGTGCAGTGGCAACAGTGCGGGACAGATCCACCTGTCAATCAGAACCACTCGAGCTATAAATGACCCTAGCAACATCCAAGAACAGGGAAACATCCTTTATCATGCCAGCCGCTCCGGGGACACGAGTCGGTATGTGTTTAGGGGAGTTGACGGGAAGTCGGAGACGTTATGTGACAGGGCAAAGTGTTTCATAGCCGCGCCCGGACGCTTGCACTTTGGCCGCAGATTGAGGGGGAAAGAGGTCACCGAGGTTTCCAGCGGTGCGTCCAGCGCTGTCAGCGAGCTGGACGACGCTGACAAGGAGGTGCGCAACCTGACAGCCAAATCCTTCAAGAGCCTGGCATATCCTTATCTTGACGCCATTAATTTCAGCACAACAAGTGAATCATCATCAGAACATGGGAAAGGGATAAACAGGTGGTCCACTTTTGTCGACCTGAAATATGGCAATATGAATATGTCAAAGGGACAGGATAAAAGTGTGCTTTCCCATCAAAACTCATCGGCCTCATTTGAATTAGCCAAAAATATAGACAATAGAGGTTATAAGGGCATTGCACTTGCAAGCATCAAACCGCCCACCAGCAAGATGTTCACTCTGAATGGCAACCCCCACAGCGCATCGTCATCTACAAAGCAAATAGAGCTGATGGGGGAATTCAGTAAGGGCCACGGCGGACTGATAACACTCACAGAGACTCTGAATTTTCGGTGCAATGTGAATTCGGGAATGTCTGAGGGAGAAATGCACACTAACTTTGCACAAAATGCGGCAGGATCACGTTCCACAGATGAAGTTACCAACAGTTTGCCAAGCGGCAAGGGGAGAGGGGCCAGCAAGTCACCCTGCAAAACCATGGAAGACACACACAAGAAAGCCATATTCGCCTCGAGTCTGATCAAAAATGTGATTTCTAAGAAGATGCAGTTTGAACAGGAGCGCAAGATGGAAAGAGGGGAGATCCGCGAGGCGCAGGAGCATGCAGCGGGCTTTGCGCACCAGGAGAGCGACAGCTTCAGGGGGAAGGGAGGCAGGGAGCTGCACACACAGAGCTCCAGGTTCTCCGAGAGCAGCTCGGACTACACCATAATGTGTCTGGATGAATTAGGAGACATTGTGGACAGCGGCTCATGTGATACCAAAAGCGACTCAAGACGCCGGGACGCGACCGCATCCGCTCCAGAAACTAATTTGGACCCGGTAAATGAAGCTGGAATCGATACTAAAAAAGGCGCATTGGAAGTGCCCAAAAGTACGCTGCTTCGAAGCCAAAATAGCGCATTCAGATGCTGGAAGGACGAGGAGCTAGAGTTTCAAAAGGATCATAAAAACGATCAAACTCTGGAGAAGTCGCCGTCAGTTTACGAGAAAGAGGGCGAGGGGGATCAGTACTCGGCTGGCAGCGGGAAACTGACTAAAATGTCACATTTGTTTGTGCCAAGTATCCAACTGCTGTCCAGTGACGGAGAAGAAGGACAGCAGCTGCGGAGCAGGAGTTATTCCCCATATGGAGATGAAGGAGTGATCCAAGAACACTCTGATAACAAGTTATACATCGCTGATTCCAGGAATGTGGGCAAATCTAAATCTCCGGAAATAAAAATTAAGTTAAGGAGCTTCAGAGAAAATACAACGGAGCATTTCGGCGTCTCCAAGCTGCGCGCCCCTAATATAGGCTGTAACGCAGCCAACCTCGGCAGAACAGATGACTTCAAATGCCACGAGCTGGCTGCGGCTTTAAAGGGTGAGTCGTCGGATAAAGTCCCGCATTTCATGGTTAGAGACATTAGAGATAATAAATCAAAGTTGCAAACGCCCATACACCAAGTGAGAGACGTGCGTAAATTGGTTAAAAGTTCGTATCACTTTGTTTCTTTGGATAACAACGAAAATAAATCAAACTTTCTATCCGCTGACACCCATTCAGAGCAACATAAGCAAATGTCCAATCGAAATCCTAATTCGATGTCCCCTATAGTTATCAAATGCCAGTCTGTGAACACAAATAATAACGGAAAATATTCGGAAAATACGGATTTATTTAAACGGGAGCAGTTTGACACAGACAGGTCGTCTCCTGAGGGTGCGAAACATGCTCCTCTGCAGATGGCAGCAGGGAGAGCATACATGGGCAACCTGAGTCATTCCTCAGAAGGAGATATTGCATTGAGAAGTGAAAGCAGAACTCCTTCAAAGAAGCAAGAACAAATTGCAGATATCATAGATAAGAAACCTGAATCAAAAATACGAAATCAGGGGCCTTTGGAAAAACTCCAGGCTGCTGTGAAAACCATGGAACAGCTCTATACGTATGACAAAAATGAATGGAAAAGGAAGAATGAGTCCCATGTCCTGGCAGACAGACATGTGCTTTCGATGATTGCCAGTGGAGACCATGGGGGACCTGAGGAGGATGCTGGGGGGTCCAACATGGACAAGACAGTCAGAAGAGACTCCTTTCCCAACAATGACAAGCCGCCTCCAGTGATATCTGGCCCTGACAGCCTGCTGAGGTCCATGCAAGGTAACAGCACAGCCGCAAACATGTTCAGCCTCAACTCCAGCCTTAAGGCAGCCGCGTTGGCAAAGCAAAACTCCATACCTTTCAGCCACAAAAGCTTTGTCCCAAAATCTCCCAAGCTTCCTGTTTCCTTAAAAATCTGCCCTATGTATCTACGTGGAAGTGAAGAAGCTCAATCAAAGGAGGAGAGGCCCGCACGGGAGTTCCTGAACGCCTCAGTTGACAACGAGAACTACCTTACCATTCCGGTCAAGACTCACGCCAGCATTAACAAACAAGCATCGTCTGCTGATAAACCTTCAGTGTACACGTATGCCCCCCAGAAACAACCGACCCCTCCTTCAGGACCTTTGGGATCATTTGTGGAAAACCACAACCAGAACGCACAGCGCTCCAGCATGGTGATGGACACACGCTCACCAGAGGTTTCCCCTGCAACCATCTACCACTCTCTACCAATGGGCATGTCCATCAGTCAGCCTCAGGTGTACTGCTTTTCTCCAGCCATCACCCCAGCTCCTATCATGGACCCCTTCCAAGCCACCCAGAGGAAGATGCTGCTAGATCCCACCACTGGAAACTACTACCTGGTGGACACTCCTGTGCAGCCGGCCACTAAGCGCCTCTTTGACCCTGAAACAGGCCAGTATGTGGACGTGCCCATGCCTCAAGCTCCTATGACCCCGGTGCCAATGCCCATGTCACCTTTGGCGCTCAGTCCAGGAGCTTACGGACACCACTACATGATCTACCCCGGCCTAATGTCCTCACCGTCCCTCATCCCGGCCCGGACCCTGGTGCAGTCCCACATGTCGGTGCACTCGGAGCCGGATAGCGGAGACAAAGCCTTGTCCCAGCAGCCTGAGGGTCTGTACATGGAGAGCCCCTTCTACATGGCCACAGGAAAGTTCCCCCACGCGTCCTACGGGCCTCCACAGCAGGCCGCCGCCCACAGGCAGCCGCAGGGCTTCTCCAGCGCCATGCAGCCGCTCATCAGCATCAGCTCCCAGCAGGGGCCCCGCATCATCGCCCCCCCCCTCGTTCGATGGGACCACCATGAGCTTTGTGGTGGAGCACAGATGAGCAGCAGCTTACCTTCACAGGTGAGTAGTTTTGTCAGGCTTTTGTATGTACGTACAGCGTTTGGTTTGAGTATGTATAAGAAACCAGGAAGGTGTATTGTGTCATGGTTACAGATATAATTGGATAGGCGTGTGGTGTAGTGGGTTGTGCGATGGTGTTCGGGTCAGGGAGCACAGGTTCAAACCCCACTGCAGTCAGCATGTCCCTGAGACACTTCACCCCAAAGTGCTCCTGTGGGGATTGCCCTCAGTATTGAGTATGTAAGTCCCTTTGGATAAAAGCGTCTAACAAGTAACATGTCATGTAACATGATTTGTTTTTGTAGTTTATAAAAACACATTTTGCCCCTTTTGAAAACATTTCATGCATTAAAGGCACATATAACCTTATCTTAAAGTATAATACATATAAAAACAATGCACAAATGTCTAATAACGAATACGATAGTGCCACTGTTTCTTTTAACTGTAATATTGAGGTTGATATGAATTTGGGAAAATGTATCAAGAACATTCTGATTCTGATCATCCATACCAGCTTTCCTTTCAAGCTTTCCTCAACGTTTTTAAATGTGTCTTGACAGAGAACATTGGAAAGTATAAATGAGAAGTGCTGATTGAAATGAAAACAGTGTGCAGTAAAATAAAAGGAAGCGGGATGAAATGTGTCATAATAGCAAGTTCAGTCCAGAAAATGTGTATTTCACAATTGCGTTGTTATATAGTTTGTTTATGTCTTAATTTGATCATTTATTTAATGTCCTTATCATTTATCTTGAACACTTTGCGTCTCCATAGAGGCCCTATCTACCTCCAAAAGCATTTAAGTACACACAGGATTGGTGGCACACTCCATGTGATCATTTAAAGTCTACCCTAAAGACAACTTAATCAATCTGTTTATGAATGTTCTAGTATCCCTTCAAATGGATAAGTGATGAACTATAGAATGAATCGTGCATGCAGAGGAATAGAAACCATGCTCTTGTAAAGTTTGCAACTGAGCACCTCAGCAGACGCTGGCACTCAAGCTGTGCATTCTGATAGCACACAGAGATACAGATGATTCTCTTGATATTAGATTCCTCAGGGGCTAGGTGTTTGAATGTGTATGCTGGATATACTGCAGTGTGTTCAGGAGTAAAAGATCTGCTATGGCAGCAGGGTGTTATGTGCATACACAGTGCTTCAGCTGCTGCTGGATGTCAACAGGCTGCCTGGCGGGTCAGACTCGCATTGGGGTCAGCCGGCTTTTTATAGGACCAGGAGACAGAGAGAGTAAGAGCCAGGTTCACATGGCCTGCCATCAGCAATTACATAAACACAACAGGCAGCAGAGCAGCAGAGCATTTGGAGTTCCCCTTCTCATGTGAGAGCCACATACTGGAGGGCTCACTTATGTTTATAAAGAAACAGATAGCCTGTAGTCTGATAGTCTAGACTCTAGAGCCTGGAGACGTGCTATTAAGTGGAAGGCTGTAGAACTCCTACAGATTGGATGCAAACTGAGCATGACAAGTCACTGCTCATGTACCACAGGCCTGGTGCCTTCCAGTGTAGCAATGAATTGCACATTCTTCAGAAAAAGATATCCAAATACAATCAGCTGTTGTCAGTGGGATCCTTGTTGGGCTCTGTGGACAAACAGAGGTCTGTTTAGGGTGTGAGGAGGTTCAAAACACAATTAGGCCAAGCTGGTTTTTGTTGTTAATGACACAGAAATAAAGATATTTGAAATGTTAAAACCATTTGCATATGAAATACCTTAGAATATCTGCCTTATGGCAGACTGACATAAAGGGCGGGTTTATCTCAAATATATAGAAGTTAATGTATGTAAAGATTCATGGTGCAGCATTTAGTCTTCAATGGCAGCATGTGAAAGTGCACATGGAGACATTTGTTTTGACATTTGTCAAAACAGAGCATTGTGTAACACAAGCAAATACAGAACTGAGCGTCTAACATTTTCAACCTATATTGGAATTTGTGTCATCATCAAAACACGGTAAATAATTAGCTGCAATTCATGCGACACTATTTCAGTTTTGTGCAAACCACTGTCCATATACATCTTCACACGTTCATCAAGACAACATGGCCAGTTATGCTATCGGCTAAGGCTGCTAAGAGCACTTTCATTGATTTAAGGCTAGGTTTCTTAGATCTGACCTGAAAATGAGGACTGCAGTAATAGGTATTCAAAGAATGCAAACCACCATACCGTAACTTGTTGTTTGATAGGCTGGATTTACTGTCTCATCATAAGACAACTTCCAATGAACCTCAATTCATAAAGACAGGAATAAGGACACTGGTGATTGTGGACTACAGCCAACTGGAACTGTTGCTGTCAAATAGTTCAGGTCAGCTCTCTCCGACAGACTGTCTTTAAGTTCAGAGAATATTTTCTCTTGTCCTGTTTGAATAGAAAATGATAATGGTTATGAAAGTATCACAGTATTATGTTTAGTTTGCCTGACCTACATGACTTTAGGAATACAGAGTACTGTGGTTGGAGTCCAAAAGCTGTAGCACATCTACTGTACAATGGAAAGAGTTCCAGCTCAAACTTTTCCAGTCTGTAACACTTCTAATCAAATTGTTCTTTGGGGTATGATATGTGTGAATGTTGGCATGCTGGTTAAATGCGCTTGAAGTGGTCAAAAGACTAGAAAGGTGGTATGTAAATGCAAGTACATACCAAGTCTAAGAATAGCAGCAGAATTGAGAGGAAAGTGTCGATTATATTGCTATATTTCTTCAATCACTGAAAAAATGTGTACCTTCAAGCAGAAAACAGCTATCATCAGCAGGAGGTCATACCGAGTTATGTCCAAAAAACGAAATGTCCAAAAGAATCTGATTTTTAGCAGTATTGTAAACAACGTTAGGACATGTGCTCTCAAACAACATGTTCTAAAATAACAAAATGGGTTCCAAGCATTTTGATATCTCAGATTGCAAAAAGTAATAATGACTTTTTCTCAATCATTTTGTCCTTAATAAACTTCCGTACAGCTTTAATCAATTTGTTTCTGTTTATGTGTTCATTTGAACTTAGTGTGTTTTTTCTTTCTTCCCAACAGGGCCGGGTCTGATTGGACGCTGGACTGTAATGTCATTTGTCCTTTTGTCATTTATTTCAATCTACAACACAATCTCTTTTCTCTTATTTGTTGGGTTTTATGCAGTGTCAGGACTTTGTCACAATGAGTCACAAAATACTATTAATATAATGTGTCTGTTGAACTGGGTCGACTTCCTGGTGGTCTCTCTTTGTGTGTCTCTTGGTAAGTTATGGTCTAATGACAACATGGATACAGGTTGTGTGATGTTGAGGGTTTTTTAATGAAGTCATTTATGATTCATAACACAAATCCTTTAATTGGAATGTCAAGTTTATGGTTTTTGTCTTCCAAGCATTTTGTGCATGTAAATGGTCTGCAAAGGCTGACATCCTCGTGTTCCCTTGCAGAGGGAGTTTCTCTTTAGATGTATAAATATCAGAGCAGCAACAGGTTGCTCGCAGGCAGTGAAAGAGGGACCTCAGGATGACTCTACTGTTTGATCTGCAGACGGATGTTCTTTTAGTTCTTTTTAAACAATTCAGACTGTTGATCTGCTGGCCAGTTCATCCTTTCATTTTGAAACCTTTTGTTACTTTACTGACTTTATGCTAAGACACACGTTATTTTATAATAACTGCAATAAACATGATGTAGTTGTTATAAAATAATTTAACTCTTGTTTTTTTTTCTTACAAGTGTTCATGTTTATTGGTATTATATTGAAATGGATAACACAACGATTATAAAAGTTGTGTTGGCATATTAGTTATTTAGTAATAGGAAGTTTACAAATGGCTAATGCTTAACTGTTATCACTGTTTTGGATTGAAATGAAGTTGATCACATTGTTGTGATTGTGTTAGGAATACGTGTTTCATTAAGATTGAAAAAAAGTCTAAATGAAAGACAGCCCATTATACAAAATCATTCTGATTTATGCTCAGTTTTTAGCTTTCAATGTGATATAAGTCTTCCAAAACTATTTATATTTCTGAAAGCTCCACAAATCATGTATTCTCCTTTAATGTGCACTTTCCCATTCTCTAAATTGTAATAGTTTGTCAATGAACTCTCTGGCCTCTGCCAATAAATATGCCACTGTCACTGTTTCGAGGATGTTGCAGCATTTTGCAAATCATATTGTAGCAGTTGTTGAATGTGCATGGAGAGTAGCTCTTATTTTCCTAATGTGCAACAGAGGAAAAGTACATTTAGTTGTATAGGGAAATTAAATTCTTTATATGTGTAAATAATCATTTTCACAGGTCTAAAGAAAGGCCTGCTGTTCTGATTCAAAGCCTTGCACAAGGACCCTGGAACAGGGTGGGGGTTTGAAGCTTCCTGCTGCTGGATGGTTCATATTTTGAAGGTTAAAGAAAGTCGATGTTTGTGACCTCTGAAATGAGGATAACTTTTTTTTGGAATCAATAGTGAAGGTTTGATTCAATGTAGAGAAGAAACAGAACAATCTTGTCCCAAAGTGAATGTGATGCTCTAAGTATAGCCTAGTTTAGGTTTGTCATTTTGATGTGTTTTGTGAACAGTGTCGTTTCAAAATGATGTCAAGAATACCGCATGACATGTTTCATCAGATGCTGTTTTGTAAAATGCTGTGTGAAACTGTAATAAACACAAACCCTTTTGCACAACGGACTGTTGTGTTGTTCAAGGATTGTTGTTCATACATGACCCAAAGTACGAACCACAGGCATGTAGTCGAAGTAAAGTTGATTTGACTTGTTTGGATTCTTGAAGCAAGACCAACATTGTTTTGCAAAGAATCACAGAAAAACAAAATGGAGGTAGAGTAAGAATTGTCTGTTTTGTCTCCCTGTCCTTGCATTTCTGGAGTGGGTCGCATTTGGGCACTAGACAGAAAAATATTTAAAATACTCTGAATAAACTTTAAATAATCTGTAAAAATAAAAAGGTTTATTTCTAAAAATAACTAAAAATGTACAACATTAACTTTTTTTAAATTAAAGTGTCTGTATTTGACCAATATCATATATAAGCACACCACAAAAGATACAAATACAGTCCCATACCAAAACACTTAAAAACTCAAGAGATGCAAAACCAAATATGACAAAATGTCAAATACCAAAATCAATCAATGAATTAAATGACGACTCATTGCTCAACGTGTAGTGAGTGTAAATGAGTGTGTTGTTGTGAGAAGTCTGTACGTCCTTTTACACTCTGAAAATAGTCCAGTTCAACTTCAGATTAGTGCAGTTCAAAAGGATATGGGTATGTATGAATGGAGAGTTCACTTCAGTTCAGTGTTGTGTGTGAGTGCAGGTGTATGTATAGGATTGTTGGGGGGGGTGATCTGGAAAGACGCAGAGAAGAACCTAGCTTAAGGTCCAAGTCGGGTAGGTAAAATCACAGAGCAGGACAAGTAGGTCAAAAGAAGATTTGTTGAATATGAATTGTATTACAGCTTTCAATAATCAGCAATTCCTGGGATCAGTGACATTCCAAAAAACACCATGGTAGACGAAAACAAATCCCCAAAAATGAAGGTAGGTTAATACACTGGAATGACTTCCACTTCTTTCCTCTTCCAGCCTTTTTCCACAGCTCTCTCTTCTCCTACTGTATGTCGATTTGTCAGCAGTTGAATGTGATCTCCTCCCTTCACACTCACAGGTGTGGATCATTAGAGTTCCTCCAGCTCTCATGTGTGCCACTCCCCTATAATATTCTTGTGTTTCCCCCCCTTTCTGCTACAGCATTTAACACAAGCATCCATACACAACAGTAGGTAAGTTATCTGGTGTGAATACTCACTATTGTCCACTGTGAAGGCAGAACGCTGAGTGTTACGCGGCCCCTGACATATTAAAGTATATTTATTCATGGGACAATTCACTTATTAGCTGGAACTGGAACAAAGACTTTCTGGAGGCAGACAGTCTTTCAGAGATAGACGTTGAGTTGGACAAGTCTCAAAATGTCATTTGGTGATATAAAGTGCAAAGTGAACCATTCAGGCGTCAAGGTTGTCTCTTGAGAATCATTTGTTTTTGTCCACAGTTGACCAAGTTATAACTGAGACGGGATTACATCTCTGGTGTCCATTTTCTAGGAGTCCCATTCAACGCTGACTATTTACTGGCTTAGCACTGATGAAGTTGGAATGTGTGCTAAAGTGCTAGAGGCGCTCCTGCTGTCTGTGGGCACATATAGAAAGTGGATTATGAGGGGATGACTGACACATGCTCATGTTACAGAGCCCTGACTGTAAACACACAGAGGCACTGTGTTCGCAACACATTCCATATCATCATAAGCAATAACAAAAACATGAGCGTCTGGTTATTCTTCAGTGCCTTCTTTGTTAAAAATCTCAACAGATCAGCTTCATATTTATCAAATGGCCTTTGAGTGAGTAAAGATTGTTTTTGCCAACTGACATTATATCTTGGCAGGTACAATCTTGGTGACCCTCCCTCACCCAAGTGTAGTGCCATAGGTTATAAGAGTTGTGTAATAAACTGTGCATTAAGGGGTCATATAATATTAAAAGTTCAGCTGTAATGCACAATTTCTAACAAAATAAATCATTATTATTATTAAAGTTATTGTTATTATATTATTTAAATGTCTTTTATATAAGTGGTTTAGTGTTAAAATTGTTTATATCAAACACATTTTAATTGGAAACAAATATAATAAATGAATACATTATTACATAATACATGAATAAGTGTAGTTTCAGTCTGCGGCTCCTCTCCCAGCAGGTGGCGGTAGATCGCCTGTTAAACCTGAAAGAGAAGAAGACAGGCTGCATGTGGAAATGTGTTAGTCAGATGAAGTCGTTGTTTATCTTCTTAGGGTTTGTCTGGCTGTCGATAGTTATATATCATAACAGGGTGGTGACGTTCTTTTAAAAGCTTTCGTTCCAAGTGAAGTTATACAAATAAGCATACGGTTAAATGCTGACAGTTAGCTTTCAGCACAGCAAGCTAACATCAACAGCTAGTTCACACAGCAGCATTAGCCACCAGCAGGCTAACATCAACAGCTAGTTCACACAGCAGCATTAGCCACCAGCAGGCTAACAGCAACAGCTAGTTCACACAGCAGCATTAGCCACCAGCAGGCTAACAGCAACAGCTAGTTCACACAGCAGCATTAGCCACCAGCAGGCTAACAGCAACAGCTAGTTCACACAGCAGCATTAGCCACCAGCAAGCTAACATCAACAGCTAGTTCACACAGCAGCATTAGCCACCAGCAGGCTAACAGCAACAGCTAGCTGAACCAGCAGCATTAGCCTCAGCAGTTAGTCAGTTCTGCTCTCACACATGGCTGCTGAGAGCGTGAAAAGTGAAGCCTTACCCCAGCAGGAGAACGATAATGGAGACAGCAAAAGCAGTCAGAAGACAGTGGGCAGTAACGGAGAAGCAGAAAACCAAAGTGTGTCCAAAAGGCAGAGAAAGAAGCAGCAGAAGCAGCAGAAATGGGAGGAGGAGAGGGAGCTCAGAAAGTGAGTTAATTGTAACTCTTTAAAATGTTCTCTATTAATGCAACTAATTCAACTATAGAGGTGCGACAGCTTTATCAATGGATAACATATGCTGCTTGTCCCTTTTAAGTATTAAAGTGTTATTTCCAAGGTTGACACAGTGCTCCCTTGCATGCAATACTCCATTCAAACTGTTGTCAGTGAATGGTTGTACTACTTGCAATGGTGATTTAAAAAATAAATAAAAATGAGTGCACTTGAAATCTGCTTTTATATTATATGATCACTTGTGCTGACTATTTTGTAAACCCTTTCACTCTCTGCATATAAAAGAGATGCATGTCCTGTGTGTGTCATATTCCTGCTGCAGTAATACATTCAAGGATAAGTCTAGTGATGTTCACATAGTGTCAAAGAATTCCAGAGAATGATCAAAGTCCACCATCATTGATCCTACTAACAGGGAGGATATACTCCTGTAATACTTTCTGCAGCACCAAATATTTGACTACAGTTCAAGAGTATATCGCAGGCTGTCGTATTCATATTTGTCCTTCCCTTTCTTCTGCAGGCAGAAACGTAAGGACAAGAAGCAGCAGCGGCGACTAGAGAGGCACAGTCACCAGGAGGAGGAGGGAGGGGAGGTGCAGAGCTCCAGGAAACGTCTCCGCAGAGACGTGACGCCCAGCGCTCTGAGGCTGCTGTTGGACTGCAGCTTCGACAGCCTCATGCTCAGCAAGGTAAACAGGCCGGATGCTGTGGAGGAATGTCCAACATGACATCCTGAGGTAACTGACGGTGATGGTGTTGTGTGTGCAGGATGTGGGGAAGCTCCACAAACAGATCCAGCGGTGCTACGCTGAGAACAGACGAGCCTTGCATCCAGTGCAGGTGAGTGAACACTGACTCTTACACAATAAACAGTTTAAATAAGAGATATTACATTTCATTGAGCCAGAGTTGGAAGATGTACTCTGATTATTAACTATAAAAGTAGCAATACTACAGTGTAAAAATACATAGTTACAAGTAAAAGTACTGCATTAAAATGTGTACTTACATTTAAAAGTATTAGCGTCAAAATATACTTTAAGTTCCAAAAGTATGAGTTATGCAGAAAGACAGATATTTTTAAATGTATTTTATTAAAACTATTGGTGCATTAATTTGTTCATCACTTCAGTGTTGTACTCGGTAAAGGAGGGGTTTATTTGAGTTTCTTTATACACTACTGGGTAGCTTAACCTATAATAATTAGGGCTGTCAGTCGATTAAAATAGTTCATCGCGATTAATCGCACATTTTTTATCTGTTCTAAATGTACCTTAGAGGAATATTTTTCAAGTTTTTAATACTGTTATCAACATATGAGTGGACAAATATGCTTTATGCTAATGTTTATTATCATTTGAACAATGACAAATATTCTCATGAATATTAAACACAACAACCTCTGAACATTACAAATATTCTGTGTGTGTGTGTGTGTGTGTGTGTGTGTGTGTGTGTGTGTGTGTGTGTGTGTGTGGTGTGTGTGTGGTGTGTGTGTGTGTGTGTGTGTGTGTGTGTGTGTGTGTGTGTGTGTGTGTGTGTGTGTGTGTGTGTGTGTGTGTGTGTGTGTGTGGTGTGTGTGTGTGTGTGTGTGTGTGTGTGTGTGTGTGTGTGTGTGTGTGTGTGTGTGTGTGTGTGTGTGTGTGTGTGTGTGTGTGTGTGTGTGTGTGTGTGTGTGTGTGTGTGTGTGTGTGTGTGTGTGTGTGAGATGGATCGTTGGAGCAAGGCATATGCTCGAACGGGAGCTGCCTGGACGCTGTGCAATCATGTTGCGCACTATCCGTGCTGAGTGTGCTGACTTTTCGTACAATGTCCCACTGTCTGGCTTCCTGCATAAAGTCAAGTGCTCGGCGCAGTTGTGGCGAAATGTCGCTCCTCTGTTTTCATTTAAACAGCTCCATATCTGTTAGCGCAGCTAGCTAGCACCAGATGCTAACAACAACAATGCACGTAAAGTCTCTCTCTCGCTCGCTCGCTCGGGCCACACATACACACACCCTCCCGGTCCTCCCAACAGCCAGTCGGTGCCTGCCGGTGAGCGTGGAAGTGTGGTCTGCCACAAGCGGGCGACAGGAGCGGGGCTGTCAGCATCAGCTTGTAGATGGTATTTTAAACTCGATGCGCTCTGAAAGTACGGGGCGGCCGAGGACAAAAAATACACATGCGTTAATCGCGTTAAAATAAATAGTGGCGTTAATTTTTTTTTGCGTTATTAACGCGTTAACTTGACAGCCCTAATAATAATACAAGATAATGTATGTGTTGATTTATATTTTGTATTAATAATCTAAATCTGCAAAGTAAATAGTAACTTCATCTGTGAAATAAATGTAGTGGAGCAAAAGTACAAAGTAATATAATGAGAAAATACTCGAGAAGTACATTTTTTTTGTACTTTTATCCAATGGGACCTACAATAAGGGATAATTTCATGTCTAATTTTTTTTTAACCCACTCTCACCTCTACAGCTTTATCTGACCAGCCTGGGAGGACAGCTGAAACAGATCATGGATGAAAAGGACAAAGGATGGGTGAACTGGAAGGTAAGCTTGATCCTGAGAGGAACCGTTGACAGGTTACACAGAGTTTGAGTTGTCACAACCAAGCAGTCTATTTAACACACTGTGAGCAAAGTCAGTCTCTTCCAACTAGGTTTTCAAACTATTAGTCTTTAGACCCAACCAATGCTGACTCTAGGGACGTAACTTGAGGAAATTCATCAGAACACACACACACACACACGCGCACACACACACACACACACACACACACACACACACACACACACACACACACACACACACACACACACACTGTGTCTCTAATACCTCATTCACACTAACGCAACTCCGGTTCAAGCTCCGTGCTAGAGCTTTTCAGGTTCAGAACTGGTTCTTCGGTTTAGCTCCGGCTCTTTTCACACCGCCCAGAGTCCGACTGGTGCTGCGTCATCGTTTGCGTCATGACGTAACCGTTTGCGTGCCTGCTTCATAAAGCCAACCCGCGCGGAAACCCCTCACAGCTCACACCAACAACAACAACAATGGCCGATTGTGTTAAAGCGCTACTCGTTTTGGTTTTGCTCTGTCGAAACGAAATGGAAGAAATGGGACGACTTTACTACCAACTTTAGAGTCGTTACATGCTACATTCAAAACTGCTTTACAATCGTCATCATCAACTTCAACGACGATTTCGATTCCCCCTGCCCCCGCCTCGACGTAAGCGTGACGTATGCGGTGCTTTTGCTCTAGCCGGACAATTTTTTGGTGCTAGAAACGAACCGGATTCCGGAGCTAAGAGGCTGCTCCGCTGTGGTGTGAACAGGAAAACCCGGTGCTTTTCAAGCTCCAGCTCCGAACCGGCCCTGAAACACCGTTGGTGTGAATGAGGTATAAGATAGCTGAGAAATGGGTGTCAAAACTAATCACCAAACATTTAGACAAAGGTTTCGCTCCACTCCACCTAATGCAGCAAACAGTACCCTCTAATACCTGTATACAGACTTGGATGTATACTAACCAGTTCACTCTCCCTTTTTAAATAATATATTTTGCACAAAAATGTAAAATAATCAGATGACCAGTCTTGTGAGAAAAGTTGTATTTTAACATGCATTATTTCCCAAATCAATCCAAAAATAAATGAAGGGCTGCACCTTATGCATCGCTTTGGTCAAATATGTACCAGAGCCCAAAGATCAGATATCAAGGATCTTAGCATTTCAAAAATAAAACAGAATGTCTAATGTGTTAATTACAAATGGAGTTGCTATAATATATTCATGCTAGGACTCACAAAAAACATACGTAAGCAGTTTTTTTTAAATCACAAAGATTCATCAATAGAATAGAAAATAATCAGTGATGTAAAACTCCTAGTTCTCATATTATGATTGCACATGCTACACACACAGACTTTGGACCCGCGATATTGGCAAATAACTAGCAATTTGATTTATTTGCATAAATATTGTTAGGATATCATTTTGACTTGTTTTTAATATCATTGTACATATTGTCTCATGTGATTTTGCATAATCTGTGTACAGTGGGGCAAACAAGTATTTAGTCAGCCACCAATTGTGCAAGTTCTCCCACTTAAAAAGATGAGAGAGGCCTGTAATTTTCATCCTAGGTACACTTCAACTATGAGAGACAGAATGGGGGGAAAGAATCCAGGAAATCACATTGTAGGATTTTTAATGAATTAATTGGTAAATTCCTCGGTAAAATAAGTATTTGGTCACCTACAAACAAACAAGATTTCTGGCTCTCACATGCGGCTTTCACACCAGCGCTTTTCCCTTTCTAGCTCCGAGCTAGAGCTTTTCTGGTTCAGCTCCGGTTTCCCTTTTCTGCTCCCGCTCTGTTCACACCGCCCAGCACCCGACTGGTGCTGCTGCGTCATGACGTCACCGTTTACATCGCTGATTTGCTCCCCAACGGCATTACGGCGCTCACAACAACGGGGAACTGCGTCGGGTCGATGATCGTGTTGCTTTTAATCACACGAAGCCAGAATAAATTAAATAACGACTTCTCCAACCTTATACTTTGCTCCAGAGTGCCGTGGTTCATTGTTTATTAATGTGTTTCTGCAGCATTTACCGACCGCTGCAGTGTTGGCTGCTCTTCTACGGGAGTTTATTCTCCTCCGTTAGCTCCCGGTTAGCTCACACTGCAGCGGCCGCTCTAAAGTATTCACTGTCCGACTCACACAAGCAGCTGATACATATCCCCAGTTCCCCTTAGCCTAAGTGAATGTGTGTCAGTCTGAATTGACGCTGTTTGGCATCACAACGCTGTTATGAAAGTTTCTCTGGTATAAAATGGGTGATGTTAGCATAGCAACCGAAGCTAAACTGACTACTTGCTATTGCTATCCTATTGTGGCATAAACCGTTTTCTACAGGCACATTTTACCGGCGTATTTTTATTATGATTCTACTTGTGATAGTCGGACACGACAACCTGTGCAGCCCATGTATTGATTTTATCCGATAGCTGCTATAAAACTAAACGTCTGCCTCTCTCCACAATGATCAATAACAGTGAACGGATGGTCAAAGTAAGGTACAAATAAACAGAATCACACGAAGCCTGGTTAGTGTTGCCTGACTTTATAAAGTGTGTTTATAAGCACTACTGCTTGTAGGCAGGCATGACAGTCGACCCATGTTCAGGGGAGGAGGGTTTAGTTTCCTGCACGCCTCGACGTAAGAGAGACGTAAGCGACGCCACCTCTTAGCTCCGAACCTCTTGCCTCTAGACCCAGAGACGTGCACACATAGACTCTAGGTAGTGCTTGAGCACCTGCCCGTTTTGCCCTCTGGACAGCAATGTGCCCTTTTTGAAAGTTCGTTTTTTACAGTTTAAAAAAAAAAAAAATTACAGTGTACTGTATGTGGCTCATGGTAACATCGATCAATTCTGGATGAAAAGCTTCTAATATATACAACAATGCCCCAAATGCGCGTTGTAATTTTGTCAGACATCCCCACGCGTGCCCCGCGGCACTCCCGTACGTGCCCTGGCTGCAGCCCCTCCCTTCCCTGCTCTCAACGTGAACGCGCAGTGCGCAGAGCTGACAGTCAGTCACTCAGTCAGACAGGCCACGGCGGGTGTGTGGTGCAGCAGCACGCAGCAACACGATTAAAAGTGCCCTAGTGACGACCAAGTAGGCAGGGGCGGATCTAGACAAATATTCATGGGGTGGCAGGAGATTTTGAGGGGTGGCATCCCCTGACAGAAGTATATGCTGATTGAAATCGCAATCATATCAATCAATTAGGGATGTAACGGTACACGTACCCGTACTGAAATTATTCGGTACGGTCCCTTCGGTTCGGTACACGTGTGTACCGAACGAATATAGCGTTAAACGTAAAAAATTGAGAACAACTTTCTGGAAGTAATCTCAGGTATATATCATAGAGCGACCAAGTCATTTCATTGGACGAGTGGCATACTATGAGAGCTGGTCACAGGGATGCGTTCAAATGTAGTCAGTAATTTGAGGAACTGTCGAAATGGCGAACGCAGATAAAGTTGAGCTGAAAATCCTCCAGCATCATTGAAGTCTCCGGTTTGGGAACATTTTGGTTTCGCAGTTACGTACAAGGATGACAGACAAAGACAGGTGGACCGAACCAAAGCTGTTTGTCGGCATTGTTCAACTAACATTGGTTACGCGGCTGGCAATATATCAAACTTGCACACTCATTTGAAAAGGCATCACCCGAACATGAATATCACCGGTACCAAAAGAAAAAAGACTGAAGTGCAAACCCAACTCCCACTAGCATGTAAGCCTCCACCACTCGCAAAGAGTTCAGACTGAGCCAAAAGCTATTACAAACGCCAAGTATCCTTATGTTGCCATGTTAGCAAAGCGCTACCTGGCTGTGTCTGCTAACTCTGTCCCAAGAGAGGGTGTTCTCCACAGCAGGAGACATTGTTAGTGCCAGCAGATCTGCCCTTTCAGCAAGCAATGTGGACAAGTTCATTTATCTTTAAAAAAAACATGAAAATACAATGACAAGCAAGTCCTAATGTCAAGCTGGCTGCTTAGGTACTAGTACAGTTCAAATACAGATTATTTCAGTTCATCGAAATGCTGCACCTTAATATTTATTTTACTATATTTTGTATTTATTTGAATACATTAGTCAGTTTAATAATAATTTTTTTTAAAAAAGTAATGTTTTGTGATAATTTTTTCTGCTGTACCGAAAACGTACCGAACCGAACCGTGACCTAAAAACGAGGTACGTACCGAACCGAAATGTTTGTGAACCGTTACACCCCTACAATCAATGTTAACTTGGAAAGCCACAATATTAATATTTTAACTCAATCACATAGGTGATATTATTGTGGCACATCAGTAAAGCCTTATATATAAGGTGGCAGATGTAATTTAATGAATTTTAACTGAACTATAACTGAATGAGTTTGTCTCACTCTTAGACCAGCAGGAGTACCAAATATATACAGACTGCTGCAATAAGTACATTAATTAACTCTCTCATCGATGTTTGTCTGAATGAATATGATAATATTAACAATCATATTATTCCTATCAGCTGTCAATCACTGTTAATAAATAATAATAATAATAGATTTAATTTGTTAGCGTTTTTACAGGTGCTCAAAGACGCTTTACAGATATAGTGAAGAACTGTTATGATTCACATATTCATTTATTATTGAATAAACTATATTTTTTGGAGGAGTTCATGATGAATGTTCATCAAGATGCTTGCTCACCCTCCTTCAAATTTGAAAAACAAGTAATTATATCATTATTGATAAACAGTTACAACCTTGACTTTACATCAGAAAGAACAAACATTAAAGAAGTGACTAACTGCATCAGTTAGGGTTAAAAAACGTGTATTCAGCTAAAACATATACATCGCTGCAGTTATTATCCAATGGAAGGTCCTTACCTACTGGCCTAGTTAAATCAAAGTGGTTACTTTCTGTTGGCTGGGCAGTGTAGTTTTACACACCGTCTTATTTTACTTTCTCAGGAATTAAAACTGTTTTTTGGGGGCAGACCCCCTCAAAGAAAAAAATATATTCACGCATACAAGGTCATCATCTTAACAGTTTGTTATTCTCATCGAGTCATCCGTGAGCAGAGCATCAAGTTGACATGCCTATTACAGCTGAATGCGGCTATTACTATTTTGTTCAGCAAAACGCCTCACAAATTTATTAAGATCAACAGCTGTAGTGCGTTTTGATTCAATGCTGAGTACAGCCAAACTTGACATTCTCTTCTCTCATTGTAGACCGCAAATACCTCATTCCTTCAGTGCTTGGGTCCGAAAGGCTTCTCGTTTTGCGCCGTCCCCCCGTTCAAGTGAATTCGCCACCAATCATATTTCCACTCTCGCGCCAGGACCGGGGGAGGGGTTACATGACGTGCATCTTGTGCTGCATTCACTTGCACTCGGACATTAGAGACTTTCTCTCATAAATGTCCGATGAGCCACAACTTTTCTTTCAAAACAAAGCTGCCAACTGGGGTGGCAGCTGGGGTGGCAAGGCTATTGTTTAGGGTGGCAGTTGCCACCCCATGCCACCCCGGTAGATCCGCCCCTGCAAGTAGGTAACCACCAGGTAACAAATACAACGAGTGTATTGTTTAATCCCCTAAATCAGATGCCAAACTAAACTATACAGGGTTCGTACCGTACGGTCATTGAAAACCTGGAAAAGTCATGGAAATTCAAAATGCAAATTCCAGGCCCTGGAAAAGTTATGGAAAACAATATTTTTCCCAAAGTTTTGGAAAAATCATGGAAATGTAACAAGTTGCGTCAAATATAATTTACATTTGATCTAATCGCCGAAATAATCTGCGGTCGCGAGCTGTTATGTGCCATCATGACGCGCATGGTGTTATTTTTTAATATATGAAGCGCGAGCTGTGTGCTCGAGTCTTCTTGCCTGTCGGGCCGGCTGAACTCTGCTGCTCCGGGATGAGGGTCAGCTACATTAGCTACGGTGCGTTCGTTAACTGTGCGGAGTCACTGTGGCACAGACTGAGCCGCTGGTGAACAGCTGTTAGAACGGGCTCTTCAGGTGTTCAGAGCAGAGCGGCAGAGCGTGATGTGAACTGAAACGTTTTTCTGTCGCAATATCATTGTCACTATCTGCTAACGTTAGCTTTAGCCTTCGTTTTCTAATAGTTTTTTTCATAGGCTATAAACAGAGGTGGTATAAGTATAGAGATTGTACTAGAGTAAAAGTAGAAGTACTCAGATCTTGTACTTTAGTAGAAGTACTCAGATCTTGTACTTAATAAAAGTAGAAGTACTCAGATCTTGTACTTGAGTAAAAGTAGAAGTACTCAGATCTTGTACTTGAGTAAAAGTAGAAGTACTCAGATCTTGTACTTGAGTAAAAGTAGAAGTACTCAGATATTGTACTTTAGTAGAAGTACTCAGATCTTGTACTTAATAAAAGTAGAAGTACTCAGATCTTGTACTTGAGTAAAAGTAGAAGTACTCAGATCTTGTACTTGAGTAAAAGTAGAAGTACTCAGATATTGTACTTGAGTAAAAGTAGAAGTACTCAGATCTTGTACTTTAGTAGAAGTACTCAGATCTTGTACTTAATAAAAGTAGAAGTACTCAGATCTTGTTCTTGAGTAAAAGTAGAAGTACCAGAGTGTAGGAATACTCTGTTACAGTAAAAGTCCTGCATTCAAAATGTTCCTCAAGTGAAAGTAGAAAAGTATTATAAAAATACTAAGAGGCATGAAAATACATTTCCAAAATGCTCAACAGTGCTGCCAAAATTATAAACTGACTGCTACACAATTAAAATAAATGCTTTTATATATTTCTATTAGATGTAACTCTTTGGCGTTTCTGTTATTATTACCTGCTGCTTTAGTTGTTCTGACTGCTAAAATCCTGTTATTCCTCATTTTAAAGCCGATATTCCGTGGGGTCGGGGGGCTCGGATCCTTGTCACCTTTTTCATACCTGATGAGTTTGCATCCCTGACTACAGTTGCTTCAGCGAGTAGAAGCTAGTAAGCCTACTATTTGATTTGTGTTAGATAGGCATCTGCATCAGACAGCATATGGTTATTGAAATAAATATATATGCAATTACGACATACACGATGTGCCTTTAATAAATCTCACACTACTAAGTCAGCCGGCGGTTCCACCAGGGGCGTCAATCCCGGGGGGGGGGGGGGGGGGTTTCATCCCCCCCTAGCTTCAGATTGGACCCCCCTAAGTCATTTAGAATAATAAAAAAATTGATAATAAATCAGTAAAATCAAGCAAAAATAAGAATTAAATAACATAACCCTAACCCTAACCCTAACCCTAAAACCGAAATAAAGTAACCAAAAACCAAAAAGAAACTTAACAAAATCCGCCATTATCCGGCAAGTTTTTGCGCACAATTTCGGAGCGACCGCCACAACGACTCAGAAGGTGTCCCTTTTTTTTCTCTTGAGCACCTGCCCCTATAAATGTCTGTGCACGCCACTGTCTAGACCGACAATTTTTTGGAGCTGGAAGTGAACCGGATTCCGGAGCTAAGAGCCGGCGCCGCTGCGGTGTGAACAGGAAAAACCGGCGCTTTTCAGGCTCCAGCTCCGAGCCGGAGCTGAAAAAGCGCTGGTGTGAAAGGGGCAACAGACCTGTAACTTCTTCTTTAAGAGCCTCCTCTGTCCTCCACTTGTTAACTGTATTAATGGCACCTGTTTGAACTCGTTATCAGTATAAAAGACACCTGTCCACAACCTCAAACAGTCACACTCCAAACTCCACTATGGCCAAGACCAAAGAGCTGTCAAAGGACACCAGAAACAAAATTGTAGACCTGCACCAGACTGGGAAGACTGAATCTGCAATAGGTAAGCAGCTTAGTGTGAAGAAATCAACTGTGGGAGCAATTATTAGAAAATGGAAGACATACAAGACCACTGATAATCTCCCTCGATCTGGGGCTCCACGCAAGATCTCACCCCGTGGGGTCAAAATGATCACAAGAACGGTGAGCAAAAATCCCAGAACCACACGGGGGGACCTAGTCAATGACCTGCAGAGAGCTGGGACCAAAGTAACAATGGCTACCATCAGTAACACACTACGCCGCCAGGGACTCAAATCCTGCAGTGCCAGACGTGTCCCCCTGCTTAAGCCAGTACATGTCCAGGCCCGTCTGAAGTTTACTAGAGAGCATTTAGATGATCCAGAAGAGGATTGGGAGAATGTCATATGGTCAGATGAAACCAAAATAGAACTTTTTGGTAAAAACTCAACTAGACGTGTTTGGAGGAGAAAGAATGCTAAGTTGCATCCAAAGAACACCATACCTACTGTGAAACATGGGGGTGGAAACATCATGCTTTGGGGCTGTTTTTCTGCAAAGGGACCAGGACCACTGATCCGTGTAAAGGAAAGAATGAATGGGGCCATGTATCGTGAGATTTTGAGTGACAACCTCCTTCCATCAGCAAGGGCATTGAAGATGAAACGTGGCTGGGTCTTTCAGCATGACAATGATCCCAAACACACCGCCCGGGCAACGAAGGAGTGGCTTCGTAAGAAGCATTTCAAGGTCCTGGAGTGGCCTAGCCAGTCTCCATATGTCAACCCCATAGAAAATCTTTGGAAGGAGTTGAAAGTCCGTGTTGCCCAGCGACAGCCCCAAAACATCACTGCTCTAGAGGAGATCTGCATGGAGGAATGGGCCAGAATACCAGCAACAGTGTGTGAACCTTGTGAAGACTTACAGAAAACGTTTGACCTCTGTCATTGCCAACAAAGGGTATATAACAAAGTATTGAGATGATTTTCCACCATAATTTGCAAATAAATTCTTTAAAAATCAGACAATGTGATTTTCTAGATTTGTTTTTCTTCTCATTTTGTCTCTCATAGTTGAGGTATACCTAGGATGAAAATTACAGGCCTCTCATCTTTTTAAGTGGGAGAACTTGGACAATTGGTGGCTGACTAAATACTTTTTTCCCCACTGTATATGTGCAGGAAATTACCATTAAATCAGAGCACTACAAGGACGTTGTGGCGAAGGAGGAGCTGGTGTACCTGACGTCAGATTCTCCTAACATCCTGGAAGAGATGGACCCTACAAAGGCTTATGTGATAGGAGGGCTGGTGGACCACAACCACCATAAGGTCTGTCTGAGTTCACTGCTCCAATACCCCACTGGTTATGTTCCTGCTTTCTGATGATGGGAGCTGTCTGCTGTTTGCAGGGGATCACCTTTGAGAAGGCCAAGGAGCTGGGGATCGATCACGCTCAGCTTCCTCTCAGCAGCTTTGTGAAGATGAACAGTCGGAAGGTTCTGGCAGTCAACCATGGTAAGGACTACTATGAGACCAATATATGAGTCTGGTATCAGTAGGTTGAAGCCGCTTCACAAGGGACCAGTTTTAGTTAGTTGCAATATTATCCATCAATAATTGTCTGTGGCCGGGCACTGTAGGTTTTTAAATCTGGATTTCTTAACTGTTGTGTCCGTTTGGTACTGCCAACAATCTTTGCTAGCTCACTAGTTCACTAACAGCGCACATTGTCATTTCCAGTGAGGGCACAGGAGCCGTGTGCAGTTAAAGACAACACTACACTACACCGTCCCAAACTGAAGTGAATATATCTGATCTTTCCTTGTTGTTCAGCCAAAATAAAATGTAATGTAGTACACCGTCAAAATCCACGCATTGCCTAAGTATTCACAGTGCACGTCACGACATGCGGTGTAGCGAGGGAAGTGTGAGATTCAGACACAGCACACATGGTGACAGTGGTGCACATGGACCAATGATCAGATCAATCAAAAGACATGATGATTTTTAAGCCACGCCCAAAAATGTTTTGCAAAAGTATAGAATATGGATCAGGCAGTGTGTTTACACCATAGGTTTACACAAATGTTAGCTGCAGTTGTTAGCATACTAACTACAGCTGTGATGTAGCATCACTTCCAAGGACACGAGAAAGGTAACATTAGCTTACTACATTATTTTCTCATGTAAAAGTGAAGCTTTCGATTTATAATTGTCGATATAGAATGCAAAATTAGATGTAAACAGTCGACAGTAAACTGCTAAAAACAGTCATAACAGTCTTACCCTGCGAATAACAGAAGCCAAAAATGAATTATAAGATGGCTCTTATGCTAGATTTCATGTTGTTTTTTGACTTGAGCTTCAGTCTGTTTTACATCATTACACCTTGCAAAGTTATCCACAAATGCATATTTACAACCCCTGTACATCTGGCCTTTCAAAGTCAGCTTTCAGGGAGCTAATGCTAATTACTTAGCTAGCTACTGCTGATTAAATCTGCCAGTGACATTAGTCATTTCAATTGACTTCACTGACTGTCGGCTCGTAATAAGCCGCTACTTCTGAAGTCAAGGTCACATTGTTTTAGAAACCTGCAGCGCAGTGAAAGAGATCAATAGACCACTCTATGGTTCTTCTTTGTGATGAGGTTAGCTAATTCCTGCTTTTCCTCTCCTGCTGTCACTGCATATATTTGGTTTTATAGTGTGATTTTGTCCTCGTCCAGTGTGTGAGATCATCCTGGCGTACCTGGAGAAGGGCAGCTGGAAGGAGGCCTTCTTCACCGTGCTGCCCCAGAGGAAGGGAGCGGTGGCTGTGGACAAGGACGGAGCAGATCATCAGGAGAAAGAAGCAGAAGATTCAGACTCTGACTCGGAAACACAACAGCACACTGAGAAGGCTCAAACATAGTTCTAATGGACAACTGATGATATGAGAAAACGTCTGGATATATTGATGCTGTTCACAAAGCATCTGTTTGTTTGACATTTCCAAAAGTTTTTTTTTAAAGCTTAATTTATTGAAAGTTTTACTTTGTTTTACTTGCCTCCTGTAATGGGTCATAACTTAGTTGAAAAGCCAATTGAAATGTTTGTTTTGCTGCATTTATTGGCAGAATTTACAGAGATGACTTAGCCTACTTTAATTTTGTATTGGTCTTTTCCCTTTCTTTGATCAAAGTTCAAGCTGTTGTTGAAAATGTATTCAGTTAAAACTATTTTTTAAAGCAGGATAAAGTCAACACAAAAATGATTGTTGTCACCAGGAATTCTTGGAGTATTATAGACACTATATAAAAAGGAAGGCGTTTGGTACATTTTATGAACAAGTTAAGGTAATACAGCATTTTGTAGATGGATATAATGCAGGATATCACACAAAAGGAACACTTTTACATTATTGCTTACTAGACAAGTAAAAAAGGACATTCAAATGATGGAATGGCTTATTGAAATGGGTAGAAGTTAAGCTGCAGTTACAGAGAATCATTATGAATGATCACAGAGGACAGCCTTTACTGAAGGAGAGGTTTTATTTAGATAAACCATTACATATTTAGGAGTGAAAGGTGGAGTTATTTCCGCTTATATTGTAATTAGATGGTCCACTTGCCAATAAATGTTTGATAATGAATATGTGATAAATACATAGTGCAAAAACCTTGGACAAATTGGCCCTGCCTACAGGTAAGGGAAACAATTTACTGTACTACTATAGAACGCCATCAAAATAAAAAGATCTGAGGTGTAAAAAGTACCAGAGTGTAGGAATACTCGGTTACAAGTCCTGCATTCAAAATGTTACTCCAGTAAAAGTGTTATAGTATATATAGTTAAAGTAGCGACAGTAAAGGTATTCATTGTGCAGATTGGTCCATTTCAGAATAATATATATATATGTTTTATAATGATTGATTATTAAAGTGTTCTCAAAGGTGCAGCTAGTTTGAATGACTTTGTATACTGCAGGGTAGCTTGTGGATTTACTCCAGGTGGAACTAAAGTCTGATTTAACACTTGATTAGATTTCACATCATTCATCCAGATCTGTAAAGTAACTAACGTATTAAATACATGTAGTGGAGGAAAAGTACACCATTTACCTCTGAATTTTAGTGGAGTAGCCTACAAAGTAGCAACACATGGAAATGCTCAAGACAAGTCCCTAAAAAGTGTACTAAAGTATAGAACTACAGAACAAACAACGGATATTTATGAACACCAATGGGAGGGTTAGCTCTTGTTGCTCTGGAGACTGCAGACGGAAGTTGTGGTATCCTAGGTAACGAGGTAATGTGACGCTAAGTAACCCGCAGAGACGCTGTAGCTGGATTCACTGAGACAGAGGAGACATGTCCCGGAGAGCTCTGAAGGTGCTGGTGGAGCTGGAGTTCACAGCGGTGAGATCTGTCTCCATTAGTAGGCCTACTGTCTGCATTATCACAGTCTGCATTAATATAGCCTCTCCTGCAGAAACACGTCTGTCTGCTTAATGCTGCAGTTTATCAAGCGTTATGAGTTACTCTCTCTGCATGTAAACATCTTGTACTTTAGTTTTAGTTGGCCTGTATTTAATAAGACATGTTCAACTTTGTGTTACTTGTCACTTACAAAGGTGAACAGTGTGATACAACAGTGAACCTGGGCCTGGTCTACAGCCTATATGCACAGTGGTGAAACAATTACTAAATTAAAGAAGCAATACTACTGTGTGAAAATACTCAGTAACAAGTAAAAGTCCTGCATTCAAAATGTTACTTAAGTAAAAGTAAAAAAGTATTAGCAATAAAAAAAAATACTTTAAGTGCCAAAAGTAAAAGTACTTGTTTTGCAACGGATACAATAAATACAATATTGGTGCATTCATTTTTTCCATCACTTTAAAGGTCCCATGTCATGCTTTTCCGGTTATTACCCGTCCCCTTGTGTGTTATGTAGCTTTTTCTGCATGTAAACGGTCTGCAGAGTCACAAACCCTCAAAGTGCACCCTGTAGCGAGTAAAACTCTAACACAGAAAATACCTGTCTGTGCTGCCCCAGAACGCCTCGTTGGACATTTCTCTTTCCATTGTTTACTTCCTGGTCACAGTGACGTAACGACGACCAAATGGACCAATCCGTGGAGCTCCTCACACACACTCACTCAGCCTTATCTTTTCTCAGGCTGTGAGTGTGTGGGGAACTGTGTGGCGAACAGCCTGGCTGTGAGTGTATGTGTCTGCTTGTATCTACCTTGTGCGTCTTATATGACACACAGATTTATTCACTGGCTCTGTCCCTGAAAATAAAGGTTGAATTATTTTTCTTTTATAAGTGTTTACATTTTCAGATCATGGTGTTCAGCTTCTCCTACAGTCACTCATTCTGAACAAAAGTGTTAAAGGCTGCATTTCAAAAAACAAATTACATTTTACATGTAAAAAAATCATTGATAGCCTACTTTCAGCCTATTGCACTGGTGTAAAGTAATGCACTTTATACTTTTACTCCACTACATCTGGAAGCAAATATTGTACTTTCTACATTTTTAGTGACAAAATAATGACAAACAGTCAGATGAGAATGCTGCTTGGGGTCTGGGTGCCGTTTTGGCGGGATGTTGCGGGGCTCGCTGCTCCGCCCTTTGAGACTCGAGGAGCGGACAGTGTGAGCTGGATTACTGGTTGCTGCGTGGGGTCTGCGAGACAGTGAGACGCCGCGGAACTCAGCCTGAGCACTAGTACAAGTGTGAGTCTTGTATTGCAGTGTGAAGATATTTTGTCCACACAGAATACATTATTCTAACAGACAGTGTTTAAACAATATTTAGATTTTTCCAACATTCAAGCAGCATCAGAAGGAAATAAGATATGAATGAAGAGTGAACTGGAGGCAGGAATGATTGCTAGACCTAATCAGAAGTGGCCTTCAATAATGTGCAACATTTATCACCCTCAACTGGCAGCCGGTGAGAAACGCCACAGGCAGCAGTAGTACAGGTCACTCATAATTGAATCTGACTAATATAATGTCCCTGCACTGCTCTAAGGTGTCCTGTCCTGGAGTCCACCTGCCAGATAAAGATGACCTCTGCCTCAGCATGAGCTTCATGGGTCAGGCCCGTCAGTCTGAGGGTCGGCCCGCTGTCTTCCCTCTGCTGCTGCACCAGAGGATGACCTTTGAAAAGGCAAGTCGTTACTCATCACCTGTCTGGGAATAACACAGTACAAAGTGAGTTTTGAATAATCTGAATGGTAATGTTAGCTAAAGTGTAATACAAGAAATGTGTGATTACGGTAATTGTCATTCTCAGTAATGTTAGCTGAGAAGTGCCTGCTTAGAATGGCATAATACAAAAACTGTACAGTACAAACAAATACATTATCATTTATAAAAAAAAGGGAAGCTCAATAAAAAAGTTTAAATATTATGTTTCTAGATTTTCAGGCATGCAGTCGACCCTGGAGACATCGCTGTGATGCTTGAGTGTGAGTTAAATCATATTTATTACAGTTATGCCGTCTGTAGTAGATGTTTTTTTCACGTTATGTGATGGCATACTCAAAATCCTACTTTTGTTTATAAATCAACCCATTACATTACCATTTTTTCTCAGATATGTATCTTTATACATTTTCCTCTGAATGCATTTGCATTAAATTGGCCCTTTGTAAAAATTCAGTGGAAAGATTAACATTTATTTAAAACATAAGCAACTGAAATATTCCAGATATACATTTTTTCCAAGTCCAGACAAAACCCTCCATTCGTACATTTATTTCCATGAACCAATATGAACAATGCAATGAACAGGTTTCCTATATATATTTGGCGTTGTCTCTCCTATGGCATGTTTGTTTCTTCCTGGTTAGAAACCTTATGGCTCCTGCTGCTCTGCTCCCACCACCACCTGTCTCACATATCAAATCACACACGGTGAATAATAATAATAATAATAATAATAATGGGTTTCATTTTTAAAGCACTTCATATTTGATTTCAAATCCCGAAGTGCTACAAGCAGTGAGCATGAACAGTATAAATAAACATTACACAGCACGATAGAATTAATAAAAAGCAATAAAAAACAAACAATAGAAATAAAAATAAAATAAAATAAAAGGGTGGTAAAAAGGTCTAGGCAAAGGCTCTACTGAAAAGATGGGTTTTGAGGCCTTTTTTAAAAGCCTCCATGAGCATTCCACAGACTGGGAGCAGCCGAGCAGAAGGCCCGGTCTCCCATGGTACAGAGCTTAGTCCTGGGGGGTTTGAGGAAGTTGGAGTTGCTGGAGCGGGTGGTCCGCAAGGAGGTATGGGGGATGAGGAGTTCCTTGAGGTAGGGAGGGGCAGTTCCATGGACACACTGGTGGGTGAGGACGGAGACCTTGAATTCGATCCTCAGTTCCACGGGGAGCCAGTGTAGTGCTTTAAGGATGGGGGTGATGTGTTCATATTTGCGCACCCTCATCAGGATCCTAGCAGCGCTGTTCTGAAAGTATTGGAGCTTCTGGATGCTTTTGTTAGGGATCCCGATGAGGAGTGCATTGCAGTAGTCCAGCCTGGAGGAGACAAAGGCGTGGACCAGCTTTTCGGAGTCAGACAGAGTGAGTGTGGGGCGGAGTTTGGCGATGTTCCTGAGGTGGTAAAAGGAGTTCTTGCACAGCTGTTTAATGTGGGCCTCAAAGGTCAGATGGGCGTCCATTTTCACACCCAGGTTGGTAACTATTGAGGAGAGGGTAATGTCCTGGCTGGAGAAGGTGATGGTGGTGATGGTGGATGACCGAACCTGGTGTGGGGTGCCAACTATAATGGCTTCGGTCTTGGAGCTGTTGAGTTTCAGGACGTTCTGCTTCATCCACGCCTGTATCTCCTCCAGGCAGGCAGTGAGTGTGGGTGAAGGCAGGGCTGCAGAGGAGGTAGGGTTGATCCTGAGGTACAGTTGGGTGTCATCAGCGTAACAAAGGAATGATACTCCATGTCGGCTGATGATAGAGCCAAGGGGGAGCATGTAGAGTGTGAACAGGGTGGGGCCGAGAACTGATCCTTGAGGGACACCACAGGTGACGTTGTGGGTACCCGACTCTGCCTCGCCCAAGGAGATGTACTCTGTTCTCCCGGTGAGGTATGATCCAAACCAATCAAGGGGAGAGTCAGAGAGTCCGATGGTGGAGTGCAGATGATGGAGGAAGATGCTGTGATCGACGGTGTCGAAAGCTGCAGTGAGATCGAGGAGGATGAGGAGAGAGGGAGAGCTAGCATCAGCCGACATCAGCAGGTCGTTGGTGACCCTGACATGGGCAGTTTCTGTGCTGTGGCCTGAGTGGAAACCAGACTGGAACTTCTCAAATAGGTTGTTGGAGTTTAGATGGTCCTGGAGCTGAGCAGCAACTACTTTTTCCAGCACCTTTGATAGAAAAGGAAGGTTGGAAATGGGTCTGTAGTTGGCCAGGACTCCCGGGTCAAGGGAGGGTGTTTTGAGACGAGGTTTGATGACAGCGGTTTTTAGGGCAGAGGGGACATGGCCAGCCTGGAGAGAGAGGTTTACAATCTTAGTGATCATGGGGCTCATGGTGCAGATGTACGATTTCACAAGAGCTGACGGAAGGGGGTCCAGGACACCGGTGGAGGGCTTCATCCTCCTAACGATGCCCTCAACCTCTCGCTGAGAGATGTCCGTGAAACAGCGAAGAGGCTGGGTTGTCCCAGGCTGTGGGTCAGCAGTTGGAACTGGAGGTGCAGAGGGGCTAGAGAGGAGGGAGCGGATAGTATCAACTTTGTTAGTGAAGAAGGCGGGGAAGTTGCTACACTGCTTCTCAGTGGAGTCGGAGTGTAGAGGACTTTGGGGTTTGAGGAGGTGGTTTATGGTGGAGAAGAGTTGCTTGGAGTTTCCAGTACTGTTGTTGATGAGGGAGGAGTAGTACTGGGACCATGCATCTCTGAGGGTGTGCGTAGGCCTTCTGGTGTTCACGATAGGCTAACCGGTGAACAGTGAGTCCTGAGGCCTTGAGCCGCCGCTCAAGGACACGCCCAGCTGTCTTCATTCTCCGCAGCTCGCCGGTGTACCAAGGGGCTGAGCGTGAGAAGGTGACCATCCTGGTTTTGAGGGGGGCGTGCAGATCAAGGAGACTGTTGAGGGACTGGTTGTAATATGCAACTGACTCATTTACTGATGAGAAGTTGGCGGAAGAAAGATGCTGGAGGTCCAGGTTCATGGTGTCCGGGTTGATGTTCCTCAGGTTCCTGAAGCGGATTTGGCGTTTGGGCATGTTGAGTGGGGACTAGAAAAAGAGCTCCATAGAGATGGTCTTGTGGTCAGACACCCCCAGGTCATACACTAGCAGATTGCTGATGGGGGCGGAGTTTGTGATGACCAGGTCGAGCGTGTGGCCCTTGGCGTGCGTGGGGACATTAACATGCTTGTGTCAGATTGAGGCAGTCCAGAAGTAACAGAAACTCAGTGGCAAAGTGGCAGGAGGGGGAGTCAACGTGAATGTTAAAATCTCCAAGTATGATAATATTAGCAGAGGTTGTGCATAGCGTAGTGAGAAGGTCTTGTATCTCTGGGATGAAAGCTGAATTGGGTTTGGGTGGCCGGGAGATCAGAAGTATTGTCAGGGCGAAGGGGGGTTTACATTTAAATGCAAGGCATTCAAAAGAGGACAATACAGGCAGGGGCAGGAGTGACAGTTCCAATTCATTTCGGTGCCCAAAGATGCCTTCAGAATAATGGCCTAAAAAACTACTTGAACTAACTTAAATAATAACACTCAATAATAATACATTTACTATTAAAACAGGAAGAAAAAAATGTTTAACTATTAAATTGTATAAAGCAATATTATAGCTCCACCAGGAGTGACTTTTAGTCTTTTGGATTATTTTCAACTTGCTGCTCCCTTCTCTCTTCAGATGAGACGGTCACAATTGAACTGGTGCAGCTGATTCCTCCAGGTGATGTTGTTTATTTTTCATATTCATACACTCTTGTTCTGCTGGTATATAAATATATAGCTGTATCACTGCACACATTTCAGGTTGAACCCTTATGCTCTTTCTGTGTGTGTGTGTGTGTGTGTGTGTGTGTGTGTGTGTGTGTGGTGTGTGTGTGTGTGTGTGTGTGTGTGTGTGTGTGTGTGTGTGTGTGTGTGTGTGTGTGTGTGTGTGTGTGTGTGTGTGTGTGTGTTGTTGGGGATTTGAAGGGATATCTGGTCCGCTTTTCAAATCTCCGCGCGTTCCTATGAAGCTGGTTATAATACAGGAAGGAATCCATATCTACAAAGTAACCGTTAACAATAATCTACTTTAATGGCAATGTGTGTGTGTGTGTGTGCGTGTGTGTGCGTGTGTGTGTGTGCGTGCGTGCAGTGGATGACACGCTGGCCTGCTTTGAAGAAGATGCTCGACACTTCTTGTTCCCGGAGCCTAAACTCGTTCCCTCGTCCTCCGGAGTGGACCGAGAGGTCCTGATGACCCGAGCTCCTCACTTTCCAGTAGGTCACTGCATTAAGGAAAGCTGCTGTGATGTTCTTGGTTGAGTCAAAAACACACACGGATATATCATTAATTACCACTGGTTTTTAATGTGTTTTTTGTTTGTGCAGGAAATTGTAAAAACAGGCTGCATTTGCGACAGCAAACATGAGACAATGGCTTAAACTGGGGGAAAATATATAAAACTACAATGTTGAACTCAGGGCTCTGGATATAAAGGCTGGCAAAATATAATGGATGTGTTATGCTGTGTTTAGGATGGGATAAGAAGTTTTGGTTTTTACCGGGTTTCATTGAGGACAATTAAGTAAAAAGTAAAAATGTGAGTAACCACGCTATACAGACTATACTCTAGGTGAGATTACACTTTTGACCAACCAATGTTACTTAAAATGTTAAATTCAGTAAGCCTAAAAAGTCCCAGCTAAATAAAAACTGTACTATAATATTTACAGCATGTGCATGTACTCCATGTGCTCTATAGGAGAGTTAAATAGAGAGTATTCCTAAATGGCGTGTTAGATATTGTGGGGGAAACTTCTGTGTAGCAATCGTAGCAATGCAGGAGGAGTCACGACTCAAAGGAGACACGGGGAGAGCTGGAGCTCTGATGTCAAACACTGATGGTTTATTTAAGAGCTTCGGCCGGAGAATTCACAAAACAAGTCCAAGAGCCAGAGGTTCTGACTTCACGGTAGAGTTGCCACGTCAATTCTGAAGAACTCTACCCCAGACCCATGTGTTTAGCTAGTTCAGAGAGCATCATCAACATGCTGCATAACAAGATAACATCATAACACCTCTATCAGCTGACGCCAACAGGCAGGAACAGGGAGACAGAACACTGAGAGCACAGCAGCCAAGGTTACGAGGTGCGTGTGCTCAGTCAGGATAGTTTGAACTGATAAACTGGGTCAAAGTGCTGGGCCTTGGAAAATATTTCCCCAACAGATATATTATAATTTTGCGACCTCAAATCAGGAAGTTTGATATTTGCAGGTAAATATGATTATGGTGCAATAACTTCCTCTCCTTTTTTAACAGGGTATTGCTCCTAGGTTGGAGTTTTCCACCAAAACAACCATCATTGAGTGCCTAGTGGATGCAGAGATGATCATTTACCCCAATATAACCATGGTAAAGAATATATGGCATGGCTCTAACTGCAGACATGATGTATGATGCATCAAACAGCATCTAACTGCATCTGAAACAACACAGAAACTGGACCAGGTTAGAATTAGTCAGCAGGAGACCAGCACATAAAACCAGTGGCATCAAAGTGTTCTGTTTTTCTTAGATTATTTTAGCAACAATTATAATATGTTTATATTGTTTTTTTTATATTTAGCACACATAAATTCCTATAATAATGAAAAACTGCAAATTGGAACTGGCAAATAGCTACCAATGGACCAATGGATGTGCTGACAACTGTAATGGGTTACTTTGATAGTGAAGTAAAACCTAAAACCTGTATGGTTTATTTTACCCGTTTTTGTACATATAATGATCTCTTGGAAAGAATAGGTCTCAGTGAATCTACAAATATGTGTGCCGTTGTGTTTTCACATTTAATTGACTAAGGACTCAGGGAAGAAGTAGTGTAATATTTGACATATGAGGTCACATCAGCTGATCAAACTTAAATGACCTACTTCCTGTTGTTTTTGAACACAAGTACACAGTCCACTTCCCATTCACCTTATATTTATTTTTCAGTGCTATATGGTCAGTATGGTCAAGTTAGGAGAAGACAAAGGCTTACAAAACCCTTGCAAATCTCTGGTAAAAGAACTTAAAGGTCCCATGTCATGGCCTTTTCTACTGATCATAATTCCATTGTTAAGGTCTACTAAAAATAGATTTACATTGTTTCTCATACACCATCTCTGTATAGTATGTGTATTCACTCTGTCCTAAATGGGTTGTTGGAGCTCCTGCCCCCCCCCCCCTTCCCTGTGAGCCCAGTGGCCGTCTGCGAGACAGCGAGACACATCGAAACCCAGCCCGAAACACACACACACACACACACCCGCAGCCTGGCTGGGAATTTGTGTGTGTGCTCAGGCTGAGTTCCGCGGTGTCTCGCTGTCTCGCCGACCCCACACCAGTGAGCCAGCTCACACTGTCCGCTCCTCGCAGCAGCGCTCCTCGCAGCAGCGAGCCTCGCAACGTCCCGCTGAGTGTGTGTGTGAGGAAGTCTGCGGATTGGTCCAAACGTAACAGCTCCGCGAACGTAACGTTACTATACCCAAGAAGTAAACAATGGAAAAAGATAAATCTCCAACGAGGCGTTCTGGGGCAGCATAGACAGGTCTTTACAGGTGTTAGAGTTTTACTCGCTACAGGGTGCACTTTGAGGGTTTGTGACTCTGCAGACCGTTTACATGCATAAAAAGCTACATAACACACAAGGGGACGGGTAATAACCAAAAAAGCATGACATGGGACCTTTAACAACAAGATATAGCTCCTCTGGTTCTACTGTAGCAGAAGGTTCAACACAGACCGCTCAGACGCCCAGCCCTTCTGTTATTGGTGAACAGAAGTTTTGAAACATCCACTCTTTTTTTCCCAGAGACCACTGATGAAGAGGAACAGGAAACACTGCAGCAGACCCAGGAGCTGCTCTCCTCAGAGGAGACAGCCTCCAGCCCTGGGAAGCAGACGAGGAGTCAGAGCGTCCAGAGAAATAACCAGCAGGTCACCACCGTTCCTCCTCAGAACCCAGTCCCTGCCCCCCCACTCACAGCACCTGGCCCGGCTCAGACTGGACTCGGCCCCCCCAGCATGTAAGCACTAACAGCACATCTTGATCCCAAAATGAACAAAGATGTTTTCTTTCATCGCCAGCCAGCAGATGGCAGAGGAGAGCTGATCTAGGTCCACACAGCAGTTTTTTCTTGGCTTGTATCTGAAAGTAATACCCCTTTCACATTTCTCTTCTCCAATGATATAATCAGGGCTGCACATAACTGGTGCGCAGGTGCCAGTTATGTGCCAAAATTGAGAGAGGGAGAGGGAGAGGGGAGAGAGAGAAGGGAAAAGAGGAAAAGAGAAAAGAAGAAAAGAGAGGAGAGAGAGAGAGAAAGATATTTGCGAGTTGCATATGAACCCAGGGCCGGCCCGTAGCACTGGCGTTATAGATGTTCGCCTAGGGCGCCAGATCTGGGAGGGAAAAACACATTTTTTACCGTTGGTGCTCATCCTAATTTTCGGCCTTGATGTTACAATATTCATAATTAAGTAAATGTAACACCCTTTTCACCCCGGTTACACGTTTCATTTGCCCTGTACGATGGGCGCTGTAAGTGATGAAAATGGGGGATGTTGGCTTATCTGGCGCCCGCAGCTCACAGCCAAAGTGCGAGCGAGCGAGGGAGAGAGAGAAGGGCGCACCACCGCCCGGTGTTGTTATTAGAATCTGGTGCCGTGCTAGCTGCTCTAACGGATATAAGAAGAAGATGTTTCTACAATAATGTGGAGGGAGAGTCCTCTCCAGTCAGACTGAGAGGCTGATAACTACAGCTCAGTGAGGTAAAGGACTCTGAGTGTTTAGATAGTTCACTTTAGTCTAAGTTCAAACAGTTTGATCACAATTTATGTAAACACATATTTCCAAGGCACTCCTTTATAATTATTGGGATAAACAGATTTGAAATCATTCCAATGTATACTATAGGACAGTAACCAAACATATCCTTTAAAACTAGAGAGATAAAAAATTAAAAATGCATAAATAAATAAATAAATGTTAAGGTAAAATAAGATATGAATGAACAACACAAATAAAATAAGTTACATTAATTTGTTATTGGCTATGCGTAGGTTATTGGTTATGTTCACATAGTTATTTGATTACATCCACTTGTCTAAGATGACAACAGAGACTTTCGACCCAAACCCAGCTGTTGACTTGTGGATGCAAGCAGCTAATCACAGACTCAACCAGAGAGAAAGAAGTAGGCCTACATCATCAGCTACTATGTCTGACAGAGAGGAAGACAGTGAGGAGAACAGTCAGGAGGGTAGTGATGACAGCTTGTAGGATTACTGCTCGTGCTAATGTTGTCTTGTGTTCACCTCTGCATGTGTGTTCTGTGTTCACCTCTGCATGTGTGTTCTGTGTTCACCTCTGCATGTGTGTTCAGTGCCGTGTGTCTGGCAAATAAAGTCAAGACCCCCTCAAAAGTTACGGTTTATTTAATTTTAAGGATGAGCACCAAGCAACATCTCCAGGTGCTCCTTTGAGAACCAGGGCAAAAAAGTTATGTGCACCCCTGGATATAATGCTTCACTGGTACCAAGGTTGGAGACTCAATAAAAAGAACGATGAGTACACGATATAAAACAATACATTCAGTCTCATCATCACTAAGAGGTGCGTTGGTGTATATGCGGTGGTGTAATGTATTGAAGTACATTTACTCAAGTATTGTACTTAAGTAGGATTGTGGGGTATTTGTACTTTACTTGAGTATTTTTGTTTTATGTTCATATTTCTACTCCACTAAATTTTGGAAGCCAATATTGCACTTTTTACTCCACTACATTTATTTAACAAAATGAGTTACTAGTTACTTTACAGATTCAAATATAAATAAACTATCATATATAATCATATAGATATGCAGCAGTAGTAGATCAAGTAATTCAAATGAACCTTTATCAGCTGTGATGAAGACATTAGTGCATCAACAATCATAATCCAGTAATTTAAGATATTATATATAAGTAAGATTTTAAATGCATGACTTTTTAACTGAGTATTTTTACAGTGTAGTATTTCATCATTTACTAATGTACAATAATGTACAGTATCATTTACAATGCACTGTACATTTACTAATGTACAGTGCTTCATGGACCCCTGTGTACATGTAGAGACCTGGCCCTCTGCATGTATTTGTACCAGCTCTAACAGCATTTACCTGGGACTATTTTCTAATGTTTTGCTCCTGTGGGAGAAAAACCTGACACGGTCCAGTTAGATCAGATCTCTTTCCACACTCCCTCTAAAACTCTAAAACAGTCTCTTAAGTATGGTGTAATATAATATTTAAAAAATATACATCACAAAGTCAGTTAACAGAGCTGTTCTGCAGAGCAACTTAAGTGTAACATAAAAATCAAAACTCCTCCACAATTATTTTTTCTTCACTTCTTAATTTCACTATCTTTGACCTTACCGGAGTAATTGTTCTATCTAGACATACTGATATCAACCTGTACCTCTCTCCTGCAGGTACCATGCCAATTACTGCATTCCAATGCTGGTGGTCATCCTTTAATGATTTAAGAAATGTGTCTTTATTGTCCCACATTCTCAGTTAGCTGCTCGAAAGACACCATACTAAGAATAAGTGAAACAAGATTAAAAGCAGGAAACAACAACATTTGGTTTAAATGGTGTTTCTCCTTTTGTGGTAAAAATGAAATAGTAACAAAACAAAAACCCTCACTTTTAGGTTAAATATAAATCTTCTGATTTTGTTGTAGCATCCAATTGCGCAAGTTTCCTCCAAGTTTTTATGTATTAGTTGGGTTGAGTTTCAAACCCCTGATCTGAGAGTACATTTAGTATTGTGTACCAATTCTAATTGTTTACCAATTTTAAAGACAGGAAGGGTGAAAGAAAGAACATGCCCTTTGAGCTAGCATTGGTAATTATTACCATCTTATCATCCATTTCAGGAATATATATACGTCTCCTGTTTTCTTACCACAATAAAACGGTCTAGCCCCAGCAGAACTTTGACCTGGATTTCACCCTATCATCACTCTCCTGTGTTTAGATGCTGTCTTTGTGTCCTGGAGCCAGTGGATATGTCCCGCACTCCCACTCTGCAATGTTTACCAGCTCCTCTTCACCTTTGACCAGGTCTTCATCCATTGGTAGATAATCCTCATGATATGGCTTTGATGCTATTGAAGATTGATAAATCCCACACAATTTACCGTAAAAGCTGTAAAACGTTATGGCTTTACTGCTCTGTTGACATCATTATGGTTTGTTGATGACCAACATGTATTTACCTGTTGCCTGAGTATATATAGTCTACAGCGACGTGCAGTCAGGGGAGGCAGGGGAGGCAGAGCCTCACCTGTCATACTCCAATGTAACGGAAAAACAACTAAAGAAAAACTAAATAGTAATAATAATAACATGTCTCCACTGATCTGTGTTGTAAGTGTGATTTCTGTATGATTCCAATCGCTTCTTATAGTCAAAATCAGCAAATTGGCCGAGCTCCGCTACAACTACATGGGAGCGATGAGAAGTGAGGCAGGGACGAGCTCTGCCTCACGTAAGCCCACAGTAACTGGCTGGAGCGCGGGCACTAATGTAGCGCGGGCACTTATTTTGTGAGCGCGCTCAAGCCAGTTACTGTGTGGTGAGGTGAGGCACAGATGAGCTCTGCCTCACCTCAGAATGCGTCACCTCACAGAAACTGGCTGGAAAGCGGGCCCTAAGTGCATGCCTGCACCATCTCACTGTATGTCACCAATGTAATGTTTGTAGATCCCTTTATTACATTTATCCTCGCCATCCATAGTCTCTAAATAACTTATTTCACGTATATATGATATTTAGGCCTGCTGGTCTCATCATACAACGGCAATGAAAAAAGCACCAGGGGAGGCAGCCATAACCTCTGCCGCAATGAAGGGGGCGCACGTGAGCCCACAGGTTCTTGTTGCTACTGTTATTCTACGCAGAGACGGTAGACCGTAGACGCAAACAACAAACTAGACTTTTGAAACTAGAGGAAGATAAGGAGGACTTTTACAAAAATGTAATGGAGATTGTTGTCCAGAAGGATAGCATGGACTTCATCTTCAAGTCAAGGTAAGACCACAATTGTAATGAACATGGGATCTTACTAAGAAAGAACAATCCAATATTTAGATTTTGGGTATCCTTTTGTTGAACAGTCTGTTTAAAATGAATCGAAGCATCAGACTAAAAAAGCTTTTGAAAATAACCGAACATTTCGATTAAGGTCAAAATATAATATTTGTAAATCTGACTCTGAAAGAGTCAGTGCCTCACCAGCCATGAACCTCACCGCACGTCACTGATAGTCTATTGTAAATCACAAATATCTTTTTGTTTTAGTGAGATACTCTCCAACCGTCAGGAGAAAGTCTTTATCCAATGGTTTGGTAGGAACAATTGTTTTTCTTCTTTGTGGCATCTTTACCAGGAAGTTATGTGGGTAATAAGATAAAGTTCAGAGTGTGATTAACCTAGGAGTCCAAAGTTTAATAAAAAAAATCACTAACTATCTAACTTCGAAAATAAAACAAACATCTTTTACTCATACTTAAATGTTAAAACGTAAATGTGGTTTTAGGACGAGTTACAGGATGCTACTATTTGTTTATAGTTTATCTTGTTTTGGTGTTTGATGCTACCAAGCCTTGCAACCTTGCTTTGACATCAAGATTAAAGGGAGCTAGCTGTTGTTTGCCAAGATATAGTTGTAGTGAATTGATTTTAACACAAACACAACCACACAAACACACAGTCTCACCAGGTAAAAGAAAATCAGCCCCATAATGTCAAAGCTGTTAATACACTTCTCCATCAGTGAGCTTCAGAGGTGTAAGAAATTGTATTTTTTTTTAACTTTGTACAGAACTATGCTAACTATTTCCCTCTGTTTCCATTCTAAGCTAAGCTACCCACGTAGGGTCTCCAGCTCTGTTATCGGGTCACAGACATAAGATTGATCACATCAGCTTTAGAGAGCGGATGATCAGTTGCTGCAGTGCAGATGCATTATACTGTAGGATGGTTATCTATCATTGAAAGAAGCCAACTGTAACAAACTACTTTGCTTTCCTGTCAGGTTGGAGGGATATCACAAGATGACTCCAGCTCTTCAGAAACACAAGACCCACCTGACTACCACCAGGGTCCGGACCCTCCCGGAGTGTGGGGGTCTTACAGGGAACAAGCCAGGCACAGCAGGTCCTTTTCTTCTTCTACATTGAAATATTGTCTTTCATGGTACAATTATTCACTTTGTCACAAAGGTAGGTAATATAGTAAAAAGATATTAAAATGACAAGATGTATAAAACACTTATAACTGCGCATGTATTCAATATTAAGATGCAGACATTATATAACATTTCTTCCACTGTTGTTGGTGTTAAGCTAGCTAAGAGCCATCCATAGTCAAGACAGCTAAACTCAAACAAAAGTTAAGCTAGCCAAACTCTTTTTCAAGCGAGATTACCTCCATCAAAAACAAAGCTAGTTTACCTCTATTTAAAGTCAAGATAGATAACCACCATCAAAGTTTAAGCTAGCTGAATTATTTCAGAAGTAAAGTCACGTCAGCTAAACCAGGGGTTCCCAACCTTTATTGTGCCAAGGACCGGCAGATACATTAAAAAAAAAAAAATCGCGGACCGGTTGTCAATTTGAACTGATTTGAATATTTACTCACCAGCAGGTAGCAACAAGAGGGCTAATTGTATGTAACAACCTGAACAAATACTAGAACAATATGCATCCAAAACATATTAACAACGTTTAAAAAAGAACCGGTGTCGTTTTTTGGTTTTTCGGAAAAACGGAAAACCAAAAAACCGACGTTATTAAGCTTTTAAACCAAAACGGGAAAACAGATAAATCAACGTTTTGGTTTTGTTTGTATGATTTACGGATAAGCAGTGATGGGAAAACGAGGAGAAGGCGCATTATGAAGGAGCTGTGTGTGTGTGTGTGTGTGACTGGCATTTGTTTTCAGAAGATATTATGATAGTGACGTTCGTTCCAACACATCCTCACTCCCAGGTCGGCCTATGTTGACGTTATGTCAAGTCCCCTGTCGGCTTTTTCCAACGCAAGGGGGGTGCCTTAGCGTCCATTTTCAACGCAAGGGGGGGGTCCTTAGCGTCCATTTTCAGCTTTCCGGGATGTCCATATGCTTCTATGGACGCTCATGGAAGCACGGCATTCGTTTGTGTCGGTTGCCCTTAAAGGCAATGTGAGCGTCCATTCTCATTGGATAACGGAGAATTGTACACCCGGAAGTAAGTATTCCCCTTACTGTCGATTGATTTTATAGTGATATCTGCACTACTCATCGACTAAAAAACACCAGATTATCATTGTTAATTACACAACATTGATTGGTTTAAATTGTGTGCAATGCTTTTGTATTTTTCCCCTTCGATTCGGAGAAACAAATGTTTTTTCGGAGTAAAGGATGGCAGAAGACACTACACTACCCAGAATCCCCAGCTATCGTTTGGACTACACCATGTGCTCTGTTTGACAAACCCCGTGATAGTCCTCAAGCTCTGTGATTGGAGAGTGTGCTCCGAGGGTTACGCCGAGCCTCGAACAGCACTTGAAATGGGATGGAATCACGGCAGACTGTCCAAAACTGGATTTGAACGGGTCCACCGCGTCCCCCCTCCCCCACCCTGTCCCCAGAACTACAAATGCTGGCTATTCTGTTTCGCAACATGTTCTGTATCTATGGCACGTCTCTACTGGGAGTTGTAGTTTTAAAAGACGTTTTCGTATTTCCCATAATAAGAAGTTGCCAGTATTAAACTGTGTACATCCCTGGAGGTTTAGGGGATAGGAAACACTCACATTTAAAACATATAATTAATAAATGGGTGAAAATTGCTTGTGCCCATAATGGGCAGCATTAATATATATATACACACATGCCAGCTAAGGTCAGAAGAGCTTTATTTAACAGCTGGTCTTATGTTTGTGACCCCTGTTGTTAATTGATAACATTACATTACATTAATTGATAAGCCTGAAACATGCACTTGTTAAGGTTCAGAGGCACATTTTGCAAATATGGCAGTAGCCATTGATCAGCTTAAGATAAGATATACTTTATTGATCTCAAGTTGGAACATTTGCGTTACATCAGCATGTGTAACAGTTAAATAGGCAGTGGTGTTTATTTGTAAATCATTTAGTATAATCACACAAATTCTGTGTTTTATATTCAACAATTCTGTATTCTTTATTTATTGATTGTTCAATACCTGACAAGGTCGGAGATGAAATATCTACATACATCTTATAAGAGTATAATACATTATGTATAATATCAGTTGAAATAAGTGCTTCAACATAGTTAACATTGCTAGAGGTACGCACAAATATTGATAGATGTCTTGTAATGCACTATTGAGGAACCTGCGACCCAAGTTTTTCATTCAATGCATAACTACACCATAGTTGTGTAGGCCTATATGATATGTCAATAAACCTTAGAAAATCTTGAAATCTTGAAAGGGATGTGCAAAATAGTCATTATATACAGTCTTTAATTAACTATTATTAGAGAATAACGAGTAATTAATATACTTTATAGGGATCCTATTAATATCTAATAATTAAAATAATGAAATTCAATAACATGCTTTAACCACTAGGTGTCCCTTTATATCAGCTGTGCACCTTTATGGTGTAAATACAACCTATCTACCAATTGGATCAAATATAAAAGTCAGCCGAATTAGTGTTGATACTGCAAGGAGACGTATTGTGTGAAAAGAAATGTAAGATGTTGTTTAATGGCTGATATATTTATGATCCACGTCACGTTTTCAGTTCCTCATGTTTGTCTAGAAGTCTTCTCATCAGGGCTCTATAAATACAGAACTACGGCAGATATGTAATATTTAATGCAGCCGAACCGTGTATTACAATGCCGTTATGTGATGACTTCCAAAGAGAAAAGCAAGCACACTCGGAATAAAGTATTATTGTATTTTTTTTAAAATGTTTTCGGTCTGTTTCCGTTATTTGTTAATGACGATGTGCTGTGAGATGTGAGACTGGAATTGCACAGGGGAAAATAACGTAGGCTATCTTTAGATGCGGATTTTGTTAAACTAATATGTTTTTGCTGTGGACCAACACTATACATTGACGGGGAAGGGGGTAGCAATAAAGATAACACCATTAAACAGTTACACAACATAACAGAAATAATATCGATAGCAGCGTCCCTAGCAACCACCTTGGTAACAATGAAAACGTTATGGACGCAATTTCCTGAAGTAATCTTCGTAATAACTAGCAAACTAAAGATCATGTACATCCACTGCACACATAATCTGAAATAACAACTCACATTTCTCGCATCAAATGACATCAAAACGCATTTTAATGGCCAAACTAACTTTAAAATAGGCATTTTCCATCGAGAATAAAACGAAGTTCGGCCATGTTTTTTTTTTCTGCAGGGAGAAATTTGAAGATCACGTGACGTCAAACAGAGCACATGGTGTAGTCCAAACGATAGCTGGGGATTCTGGGTAGTGTAGTGTCTTCTGCCATCCTTTACTCCGAAAACATATTTGTTTCTCCGAATCGAAGGGGAAAAATACAAACGCATTGCACACAATTTAAACCAATCAATGTTGTGTAATTAACAAGGATAATCTGGTGTGTTTTAGTCGATGAGTAGTGCAGATATCACTGTAAAATCAATCGACAGTAAAGGGAATACTTACTTCCGGGTGTACAATTCTCCGTTATCCAATGAGAATGGACGCTCACATTGCCTTTAAGGGCAGCCGACACAAACGAATGCCGTGCTTCCATGAGCGTCCATAGAAGCATATGGACATCCCGGAAAACTGAAAATGGACGCTAAGGGCCCCCCCCTTGCGTTGAAAATGGACGCAAAGGCCCCCCCCCCCCTTGCGTTGGAAAAGCCGACGGGGGGACTTGACATAACGTCAACATAGGCCCGACCTGGGAGTGAGGATGTGTTGTCGTTCCGGTGCACGTCCGACAGCATTTTAGCACTACATCGAGATTAAGATTAAACTAATTTATTTTGGAAACACCCGCATACAGGCTACCTATGGAGTTAGCCAGATGTGTGTACATTACTGTTCATGGTCATTTGAAAACAAATGCCGGTGTCGGACAGACACAAACACTGAGCTGAGCAGAGCACACACATCATGCGCCTTGGTGACGGACATCTCCTTCATAAAACTAATAAAAGGGGGAGTGATCGGGCAGTTCGATGTGTGTAGAGATGTGTGTAGAGGTGTGTGTGGTTAACACGTAGCAGCCTGCAGTCACTCTTAAACTGTTCTGATGAAGGTAAACACAGCGAAGGCGGTGCGTAAAAAGGGCACAGCTCTCGGCGCGCTGGTGCTGCACTTCTCAGAGGCGGAGGTTACACGTCCCACTGCCTCCTGGTGCTGCCCCTGCAGCCATTTCATAAAGTGAAGGAGGTTCCCTTCTATAAAACAGCTGTGGCAGCAGATACCGTGAGAGTCCCGGACATGAATTCATAGATCAAGGCAGACTGGTGTACTCTCCTGTTTTGCCAATCCGGTGCTTAAACAAGGCAAGGCAAGTTTATTTATATAGCACTTTTCAACACAAGGCAATTCAAAGTGCTTTTACAAAAAAATGAAAGACATTAAGAAAATGGCATTTAAAATCAGTCATTAAAAAGAAAAGCTAATAAAATAAACATATAGCTCTACACCCCTGGCCGACATGTCCTTAAAATGAAGTCCGAGTTTGAAATATATCTCAAATAATGTATGCACTGCCATTTCCCCACATAAACATAACAGTCTGCAATTAAACGGTTGTCTCCTGTGCGCTCCTCTTCCTACTTGGCGCACCGGTAACTTTCTCGTGCGCACAAGATGCTGAGACCAGGCTGAGCCGTCGAATCCCTCGGAACATCATAAAAGCCATTTTCAACGGTTATCTGGTGAACGATTAACTAGGCCAGGGGTTCCCAACGCCCGGTCCGCGGACCGGTACCGGGGCCGCGGAGGTGTTACTGCCGGGCCGCGAAATAGCTGTGAGTTTATCGTAAATATATAAAAATATTTGTATCATAATATTTTTTTCAAAAAATGTTTAATGTTCGCACTTATACCAGTCATATTATTTCATCCAGTAGCCTAGTTAATCTTTCACCAGATAACCGTTGAAAATGGCTTTTATGATGTTCCAAGGGATTCGGCGGCTCAGCCTGGTCTCACCCCCAGTTTCCACCGGGTCCGTCTGCGCCGCGCCGCGTTACAGCTGCGCCGCGGCGGTCGTAAGGATCGCGGCCACTCTAGTCAATGGGTGCTATTCCACCACACGCGCCGCGTTACGGCTCAGACGCGTCCCAGAAGCGGCTCGGCGCAGCGCTTCTCTAAAATTAGGATGAATCCTATTTTTGCCGCGGCGCAGCCGTAACATAACGTCGGGCAGGCAGCCCCCCCCTCGCAGGAAGTGGAAAGGTGAGCATCCGGGCCAGGCCCATCCCCCACATATACTAATTTAGCAGACACCCCTCCTTCATCACAACACCTCCACTACGATACGCACAATGGACGACGAGGTTATCATGGAAGTGGAAAAACACACTATTTTATATGATGTAACCAATGCTTACTACAAGGACAACATCAGAAAGGACAAGCCCTGGTTTTTAGTCGCTGCAGTTTGTGGAGTGGAAGGTAACAACTACATATTAATGTTTTAAAGTTAATTAATACTTGTAGGTACAGGACAGAGCCATTCAATAAACACAATTTAAACAGACACAAAAATAAAACATTTAACTACGTAGCCTACTTACTTTCTTGTAGAAGTACAAATGTCCAGGATGCCCGAATCAATAACAAAACTGCACACGATATACTTTCTCGTGCACACGAGAAAGTTACCGGTGCGCCAAGTAGGAAGTGGAGCACACAGGAGACAACCGTTTAATTGCAGACTGTTATGTTTATGTGGGGAAATGGCAGTGCATACATTATTTGAGATATATTTCAAAACTCAGACTTCATTTTAAGGACATGTCGGCCAGAGGTGTAGAGCTATATGTTTATTTTATTAGCTTTTCTTTTTAATTACTGATTTTAAAAAGCTGTTTTATAGAAGGAAAACCTCCTTCACTTTATGAAATGGCTGCAGGCAGTATCAGGAGGCAGTGGGACGTGTAACTCCGCCTCTGAGAAGTGCAGCACCAGCGCGCCGAGAGCTGTGCCTTTTTACGCACCGCCGTCGGCTGCGGTTTACCTTCATCAGAACAGCGAGTGACTGCAGGCCGCTACGTGTTAACCCACACACACACACACACACACACACACACACACACACACACACACACACACACACAACACACACACACACACACACACACACACACACACACCACACACACACACCACCCACACACACACACACACACACACACACACACACCACACACACACACCACACACACCACACACACACACACACACACACACACACACCACACACACACACACCACACACACACACACACACAACACACACACACACACAACACACACACACCCACCACACACACACACACACACACACACACACACACACACACCCATTTTCCCATCACTGGATTATCCCATCACTGGATTATCCGTAAATCCTACAAACAAAACGTTGATTTATCTGTTTTCCCGTTGGTTTAAAAAATGAATAACGTCGGTATTTTGGTTTTTCCGAAAAACCAAAAAACGACACCGGTTCTTTTTTAAACGTTGTTAATATGTTTTGGATGCATATTGTTCTAGTATTTGTTCAGGCAGTTACATACAATTAGCCTCTGTTGCTACGGTGGTGAGTAAATAATAAAATCAGTTAAAATTGACAACCGGTCCACGATTTTTTTTTTAATGTATCTGCCGGTCCTTGGCACAATAAAGGTTGGGAACCCCTGAACTAGGCTACTGGATGAAATAATATGACTGGTATAGGTGCGAACATTAAACACTTTTTGAAAAAATATGATAAAATATTTTTAGAATTCTGCAAATATTACGATAAACTCACAGCTATTTCACAGCCCGGCAGTAACACCTCCGCGGCCCAGTACCGGTCCCGCGGACCGGGGGTTGGGAACCCCTGAGCTAAACTACATAACAAATTAAGCTAGCTAGCCTAGCTCGTTTTGCTTAACTAATCACTTCATGGAATACTGTATATCAGACTTCTTAACTGACTTGTACTGCAAACAGGTGTATGTAGATGACACGTAGCCTAATGATGATGGTATGATGTCCAGGTCTTGGTCCAGCTCTCACAGAGAATGGGAAGAGGTCCAGGAGCGTGTTCGGGGACTTCTCACGACACCTAAAGCTGTACGCCGACTCGCCTTTGTAAGTAATATATAACATATTAGATATCACATTAGAAGTTAATTCTGGTGTATATACTCATGCTACTATACATGTACGTCTTCAGTTCAGTTGTTGCAAGTTGCAGTGATCGATAGCTGTCTCACAGGAATCTCCCTTTCCTTTGCCTTTACTGGATTCTCCTTGTTTGGGGCCGATGCCATTCGTGGTAATCTCTATGAGAATTCCTGTCAGGACCTCGACACAAATTGATTAACCCAAATGCACGACCCTGAGACAAAGTCTAGAATGTAACAAGATGTCATTTTAATTCCAAAGATCAGGTAATACCTCTTAACAGAGTAGGTAGGCTACTGGAATAAACAAAAAGCGCTCACAAGGAGGAAAAAACTAAGCATAACAAAAAGAGAACTTAAGCCTACAAAATTAACAAATTAACAAAACCTGACATGAGCAAAAGCGATCCTTTCTGAGCCAAGGCTTGGCACGACCATTCGGGGAAACAAACCAGACGAACTGACACAGGACAGGGGAGAGACAGGACTATTTAAACATGAGGTGAGTGGGAACAGCTGGAAACAATCAGGGGAAGGGGCAGACACTGATGATGGTGGAAAAAAAAACACAGGGGGAGGAAGAAACAGGACCTGAAATGAAAGACAAGAGGTAAGTACAAAATAAAACAGGAAATGGAAAACGAGACATGACAATAAACACAGAGACTGACTAGAGATGAAGGACCTAAATAAACAGACATAATACATTTATACATAACTAACACATTTGATGAGACACAACCATTTCCTTTAAATCTTATTCTCCATAACTAAAGTACTTCACGAACAAATTTCAATTTTCAATAACATTTGCATCAACTGTATTAGGAACCAAGCCTTTATTCATAACAGTTAATGTTAGGTAAATGACTTTAATTTATACTTTCCATGTTTCATTAATACATCAAATTTAGCACTTCAGGATTTGAAGTCAAATATGAAGTGCTTTATAAATGAAACCCATTATTATTATCAAATTTTAGTAAGAAGCCTGTATCCTTATCTGATTCTGCTTGAATCGAAAACGTATACTGATGTAATTTTTGCTGTGTAATTTGAATTTGCACGGCAGGTTTCTCCTCTGTAGACCTTGCAACTGTATTGCATAATGTTAAAAAAATATCACTCTCGTCACCGGCTTGAGCTTCAATATCAGGATACATGTATTTAGTATCCTTTCAAGAATGAAAGTAGTCATCACATACAGAGCATTTGGTGCAACTAGTTCCTGAACAGTGTCCTTCACATGCTTATATACAAGAGAGGGAGTTACACAGTCACAAGATGGAGGAATGCCGGTTCAAAGCAGTATTCAATGTTTTGTTCAGATTAGCTAAAACCCACGTCAGAAATGATCATGCTTGTCATATGTCTATCTCCATAGAGGCTGAATCATCATGTTAATCACATAGCTATCATATGTCTAAAACAGTACTGATGCTCTTCTAGGTAATCATACATCCTGTCATGTACACAGTTACAGTTGGGCCTTTGTTATCATGTGGACTCTGATATTGGAAGAGTACATTCAGTAATTTCCTAACACATAAGTAGCTCTAGGAATGAACTTACTTGTTTTTCAACAGTTGAGTAATTTCTTGCATTTAAATAGCTGTTTGGATGTGTTCCAGTCAGGCTTTCGACCAAACCACAGCACTGAGACTGCTCTTGTAAAGGTCTTCAATGACATCCACTTAAACACAGTGGCAGAACTTCGGTGTTAGTATTATTAGATCTCAGTGCTGCGTTTGACACTGTTGACCACAACATATTACTCGACCGACTGGAAAACTGGGTGGGACTTTCGGAAACAGTTCTAAATTGGTTTGAATCCTACTTAAAGCACAGAAACAACTTTGTTTCTACGTATAGGTAAATACACATCTGAGTTGACAAATATGACATGTGGGGTTCCTCAAGGCTCCATCTTGGGGCCTCTTCTCTTTAACATCTACATGCTACCACTGGCTCAGATAATGAAAAACAACAAAATAAGTTACCATAGCTATGCAGATGACACACACATTTACGTAACAATTTCACCAGGAGACTATGCTCCAATTCAAACACTGAGTAAGTGCATTGAACAAATCACTGACTGGATGTGTCAGAACTTTCTCCAATTAAACAAAGATAAAACTGAGGTAATGGTTTTTGGAGCCAAGGCAGAACGTATAAAAGTTAGCGCTGAGCTTCAGTCTGCAATGTTCAAAACAACAGATACAGCCAGAAATCTAGGTGTAGTCATGGACTCTGACCTGAGTTTCAACAGTCACATTAAAACAGTTACTAAATCAGCCTACTATCACCTAAAGAATATATCTAGGATTAAAAGACTAATGTCACAGCAGGATTTGGAAAAACGTGTCCATGCTTTTATCTTCAGTAGACTGGACTACTGCAATGGTGTCTTCACAGGTCTCACTAAAAAATCTATTAGAAAGCTGCAGCTGATTCAGAACGCCGCTGCTCGAGTCCTCACTAACACTAAGAAAGTGGATTACATCACTTCTGTTCTGAAGTCTTGACACTGGCTTCCTGTGTGACAAAGAATAGATTTCAAAAATACTGCTGCTGGTTTATAAAGCTTTGAATGGTTTAGGCCCAAAATACATTTCTGACCTCCTGCTAAATTATGAACCATCTAGATCTCTCAGGTCTTCAGGGACTGGTCAGCTTTCTGTCCCCAGAGTTAGAACTAAACATGGTAAAGCAGCGTTCAGTTATTATGCTCCAAATATCTGGAACAAACTCCCAGAAACCTGCAGGTCCGCTGCAACTCTGACTACTTTTAAATCCAGGCTGAAGACTTGTCTTTTTGTCGCTGCTTTTAATTGAACTATTCACATCTTAAACTATACTGTAACTTTTATTCATGTATTTTTTCTTTTTAATGTTTATTTTATTATCTTTGCTTTTTAATGACTGATTTTAAATGCCATTTTCTTAATGTCTTTCGTTTTTGTAAAGCACTTTAAATTGCCTTGTGTTGAAAAGTGCTATATAAATAAACTTGCCTTGCCTTGCCTTAGGACACCACATACATAATATGACTTTCAATGTGTTGTAGGGGGCCACACACTGTGAGGTAGACGAGGTGTTAGCCAGGAGGTCCATCTCTCCAGGAACAACACTATGACCCGACCAGACTCTGAAAGGTGAGGTGGACCAGCTCTGTGTCTCCATTGTCTCATTGAATATAGAGTTTAGAATGAATACTGTGATGGCAACAACTAAAGTTACTCTTAACAAACAGCACTGGTTAACAAACTAGTCCTTGTCTCACAGGCTGCATCTTTACTCTCAGTTAGTGGCGCAAGCTCAAAATATACTGCTGAAGTTCTGTCACATGCTTGGTTCCTCGGGCTGCAGTTAGTAGGGTGTAGGTACATGGACTGTATGTTTGCACAGTAACTGTCACTCACGATCTGTCTGCATTTTCCAGTTTTTATTTTGAAAAGTGTTCACTCGCTGTGGTATGTCTCTGTCTCCTGTTTAATTACTTGATTCTGTTCTGATTTGTTCAGTTTGCTTTGTTGTAAAATGCTAAACAATTAGTAACCTTCATTTCAATTATGTAACGGTAGCATATTAGCCCGTCATTGTTGAATCTTTTCTTTCGCTTTTATATATTATTGTTATCATTGTTGTTCTTTCGTCAAACATCCAGTCCCCTGTAGCTGATGTCCTGTGCAGTATTGTTGGTCAATATAGGTGCATATATTTGCTGTGATAAACATAATAGCATCTTCTGTTGTGTTAGTTGGTCAAATATTATCCTTCCCTTTCCTGAGCCTCACCCGCTGCCTGGTAGCAGCTGCATTTAGTACTACAGATCCCAGAATTCTGTTGGCATCAAACACCCTTTGAGCAGCTACCAGTTAAGACTAACCAAACTTTTACAGCAATAACAATACAAGCCAGTATAGTATAAAATTGGGGTAGCATTCACAACAATTGTAAGGTTTAAAAATGTGCCTGTGGAGGACTTTTAACCATCATCATTACCACTAAGTCCCCTATTTTTCCTCATGTACTGTATACCAACTTTACCTCAAATGCCAATTCATTACCACCCTAAACCTGTATTGTTGTTAAACACTTGATGTCTATCTTATTCCTCCCCGTTAGGGAAAGAGACTGTCACCTTCCAATTCTGTCTTCTGATGTCAAGACTCTCCTGTTGTGTGTGCAGAGAGGTATTTTTCTGCAGTGACTTAATATATGTCCACACACACTATCAATGAGTGGCAACATAATGTGTTTCATGTTAAAATAAACCTTTTAGAATTGAAACTCATTGTTATATCTCTGTTTGAACACAGCCAGGAGGCAATTCCCAAGTCCCTTTTCCCCTTAATCTCTCTAGCTAACATTGTGGAGTCCTCAGGTAAATCCTGAAGGTCATTAAAGGTGAAATGTGTGTGTGGTGTTGCAGCTCTGTGTGAACTACTGCCATATATCAGAGAAATAGCTTCTAACTATGTCTGAGAGACATTAAGCACCAGCTCTATCAGGAACATTATGATCTATTGCAGAATGAGTGCTGAAACACATTTTGGTGTAATAAGCAGTCAAGCTATTGGCCTTAAAAGCAGGGCAGATTTAACAAAGTCTTGAAATAATTCAGTAAATATGACATTTTTGGAACTAGCAGGTGAGGCTGCTTTAGTTGGTGTTGAAATGCCCCTTTTGAGTTTTTTGACAGTTTACTGTAAAAGTGATTAAAGAATGTTCTATGTTGGAAAAAGTGTGAATGCCTGTTTAATGAATGACTCAAAGGCAGAGCCAAAAAGCATACTTCAATACAGAGATTCAATATATGGAAATAATTGTAATAACCCTGCCTACCTTCAGCTCCCCTAACCAGCAAATCTCTGCTGAAGTCTTATCCCACCAATTGTTGGATTGACTGTTTTCGGCAAGTTTCGTCAGAAATTGTACAGTAATTGTAATTGGAGAGTACACTAACATGGGTACACTGAGATAATCCAAATATAAGAACTGATAAAAACGAATTTAAGAATAAACCATATTGCATGATCTTGAAGAAGGTTATGTCGTAGGTTTTTCATGCAAGCTTGAGTTGGGTCTGTTTTTTCAAACAAAAAGTCCCACATAGCTCATCGAATAAAGTCAGCTAATGAGTTTGAATGAATCAGACAATCCATCTTGTAGAATCAAAACTTGCATTCTCTTTATGGGTTTCTGGATTTTTTTTCAAAGCGCTGACACTTATTTCTATATCGAAGTAGAGGCACTGTGAATCATGTTCCAACACTAGCAGAATATGTTTCGGTTCATTACTAAAAAATATAAACAACAAAATACTCATTAGCAACTTTCTTTTATTTGCTTGCAGTTACACATTACATAGCACATGTTGATTCACATATTGTACGTACTCAAGTAGTTGTTTCAACAAAGACGGGGTTGGTTGATGACGGTGTGCTTTTGAAATGTAGAATACAACCTGATTTGCGAGGGCTTCTGGGTCATCTTTGATCAATATACAATGACACACAAGCACCAACCTCCACCCATGTTTTAATTCAAATATGGCCCTTTTGGCAGTGTAGAGACGATTAAAATCAAGACACTGAGACTTAGACTCTTATTCCAGCAATGGATTTGGACATTTTTACTTTTGGGAAAAGTCAACCCTTTAAACATGAAAGCTCAAGTAATCCACTGAGGAAACGTGGACAAGTGAAATCCCACCAAAAAGCACTCTGAAAACACTATTACTTCATTAGACTTTTTAATATTCTGAAAATAGGTTTAGGATTTTTCAGCACTGCATGACCTCAAAAACAGCAAAACATCTTCACGATACTTGGTAAGGACACATGGGAAAGAGTAGCAGCTAACATTGCAAAGCATTGAGATGCTAGCTGCTGCTTTGGGAACAGTTATCAACCACAGGCAGAGGACATCCTCTGTCATTTTCTGTACCATGGAAATTAGCATGTCTAGCCTAGCTAGCAAGTTTGCAGTCCCTAATTATCTACGCTAACCTAGCCAATAACAATTAAGTATGGACATTAGGTGCAGTTTTGGGAACAGTACTTTACAGCAGCTAAAGAAAATATCACAGCTTAATATCCTCTTAATATGACATTGATATCTCGACAGAGGCCAAATTGACTTTTACCATTTAAGCTGTATTTCAAATGTCCATCTCTCTTCTTTCTTTTTCAATTCAGAAAGCTCGTACCAATCTCTTACAATGAGGACCATTGGAAAATTAGGGATGACCCACGGGGATATTCTGACTTCCAATTTAAAATAGAACTCATCGTACAGTGTGATATTGTGCTGTAAACTACTCTGACGGTTTCATTTCTACCACAATCTAAGAACCAAGCTAAGTTATCTTACATTGAAGAAGTAGATCTACTGAGTCTGTTGTACAATGCATACCTCTGTTAGCATGTGATGGATAACATGTGTCTTGTCATTATGGAAGGTAAAAAGACTCTTTTTACTTTACCTTGAAAACACTGATATTGATTAGGACATGGCATACATAGAACAACAGAAAACCCTTAGCAATAACACGGTTGGTCCCATGTCATATCTTGTTCAAGGGAACTCCACCAAACAACTCTCCACCACTCATCCCATGCTTAAATACGATACAATATGAGCATGTGCAGGCATCAGAGCATGTAGCTGCTGCATGGAGTCAAATACACAGCTCTCGGTTATAGACATGGACATATATTTTATAAAAGAGCGTAAAACCACAAGCATCACAAATAACAATGCAGCCAGAGAGCATTAACATAGGTAAAGATATTTGTATCATTTGTGTCAAAGCATTGACTTTCTCTCACGTTCTAAGAAAGGCAAGGCCCTTTGGTGCGTCTGTCCATCCATCACAGTTTTTCAAAACTACTAGCCAGATAATTGCCATCATTAGGACTACATTTCCACTTGTTTACAAGACATCAAAATGTGATGACCAGACTTTTCGTCTTGCACCCAACTTGGACTAAATGTTGACTTTTCACAAAATATACTGTTTGTCATAATTACAATTAGGCTGAAACTAATAATTTATGTTTGTGATTAATCCTGGTCAGCATTGGATTTTTATTGTAGCAGTTGCCTTTGAAAATGAACCAAAAGCTGTTGTAGCTTCCTTTTAGGAGGCTGTCCTCTGCTGCTGTGCATCGGAGCCGTGTTTTGTGTGGCTTTAATCAAAGTGATACCCCAGTACTTTTTTAACAACTTGCTGAAAGTGAGAAAATAAAAGTATTACTTTCCCCATGTTGGCGCATTAAGTGTACCTTAAAAACTGCTAACTGTCACATTAAAATGTTTTAGTAGTTCTATATTTGAATGTTGGTGTGCGCTATGCTAGCTAACACCCTCCTAGCTCAACACAGATATGACATGGTAATAATCATTTCATTTCACTCTTGGCAAGAAAGCATAGATGTGCAGTATATTTCCCAGAATGTCAACATGACTTGCGGACCAATTGTTCCCACATATTTTTTCTATTGTCTGGTTAAAGCTAAAATGCCTATAATATTCACTGAGCAATATGTTTAAGAGCATTTTTTACCCGACACCACAGTGAAAGTATATTAGCAAAATTGTGTTACAAAGACATTCTCCAAACAAACCTGTTTACTCTAATGTATCCCTACACTGCCTAAAAACACACTATTTATGATCATTTTTACGTGATTTGGTTCTGAAAAAGACGTCCTTACATTTCACAGTGTTCAATGACTTCATAAGCCTTTGTTGACTATCTCCACTCTCTGTGAAGTCTCCATAAAAAATCAGTCTGCGGCCAGCGATTAGCACTTCTTTAACATATTGCTTCATGCAACTTGGTGAAAAACCTCTTTATATGTTTGGCACAGTTTAAATATACAGATAGATATATAAGCAGTGCATTATTGGACATAGACATTCAACACCCAAAAAATCATCCATTTTTGTAAGAATTATTATCTAATAGCAAATAAAGTAGGATTAATGTTTTGTTTTAACATGTATTCAATTTCCTTTATGGCAAAAATACATACACACACACTTCATATACTTTCCTTACACGCACATTTCTTTTGAGTGCATCTTTACGAGAAAAGATCACTCCTATTCAAAAGAAAAGTGACATGTTAATATTGGCACAATTTGAGAGTAAGAAGGAAGCACTTTAATCTAGTGGATGTAAATATCCGACATGGAGGGTGATCATCTTGGATAAGCTTAATGGACGCTGCTCTTGCCGATGTCTAAGCTTGGATGGGTCCCTCTCTGGTCATGGGGCTGAAACATGAACACATCCATAGCAGCATGGCACTTTCTGCTCCTGGAGCCGCAGGCTAGAACTGAGAGGTTTCAGTGAAGGAGATTGCATCTGTCTTGTCGACGGTGAAGCCTCCATTGACGTAGGACTTCTTCTCGCACTCTTCATCATCCAAAGTAGCTTCCAGAGCAAAAGGGTTGGCGACATCTACATCTGATATCAGATCCATCCTCTCCAGTTCATTTTTGGATAGTTTCTGAACAATACCGGCTCCATAAGCATCGCCAAGAACGTTGATCATAGTGCGGAACCGGTCCCTGAAAAACACCACTCAAAGTTCATTTACAGCTGTTCAGTTAGAAAAGATTTGGAAGAAATCACAGAAGGTCACCAGATACACTTACAGCAGCCAATCCACAGCGACTATCAGAGTGACATCATTTGCAGGTAATCCAACAGCTGTTAAGACTATCACCATGGTGACCAGCCCAGCGTTTGGGACTCCTGCAGCTCCAATACTGGCAACCGTTGCTGTTATACTGCAACACAGACACACGAAACATCTTCTTTTTAATAACATGCAGCAATCAAATGTGCACATGGTGTCTCTACTACAGTTTGATTGCAGTCAGAACGTCATACGACCCAATTGCAGGAAAGGAACCACATTTAGAGCAATTATGAGTAGAAAGAATAAATGCTGAATATTTGCTCTGCTTTAATTTGTGCACTTAGAACGAACAAAACTAAATCAAAAAAACATTAAAGGATTCATTTGACTCTGATTGAGAATAGCCAAATGGACGACGGTTGTGAAATAGCCCAACTGTAAGTCTGAGCAACACTCACTTTTGCTACTTAAGTTATTCAGTGTGCACCCGGACAGTAAATTATAATCATTTAAAGGGCACAATACCAAACATAAGAAAGACATTAGGGGAATAGGGTGCAAATGAAGACATTAAGATTGGGCTTAAAGAAAATAAATAGGTCAAGGAGTGGACCTGTTGTCTGGTCCTATTTTTATTTATGATGTTATGTACTTCTTTTTCTTCTTTTACATGTTGTCATCAAGGTTTTATGTTTCCTGATAAGGTACGATTATGACAATAGTTGTATTTTATAGTTTTACAAGTTGGATTTTATAGTCTTATAAAACATGCAGTTAGAAGTAGGGTTGGGAACCGAAACTCGGTTCCAGATGAGAACCGATAAGAAAATGCCGGGTACCGGGTACCCATACAAAATACACAATTTCGGTTCTGCTTAACGGTTCCTAAACGCGGTAGACCCTGTATTCCAGCGGGTCCGTCTGCACCGCGGTGCTGCGGTGACCCGGTGGAATACAGGGCGGACCTGGAGAATCACAGAACGGCCGGTCGTCAGCGGGCCGTTGACGGCCGGCTCGGTACGCTGACGGCCGGCACCGCCCTTCATTTTTTAAAACGGCATCATATAAATTGCGCTGACAGGCGACAGAGGTCCACAGTTGCCCCGCAGCGATGCTCCCCCGCCCTCCCGTAGACATTTCACGAGCTCAGTCACTTCATAACACCAAAGATAGGTCGCGGTAAACACTCTGAAGTGAGGCTCCACTACACTAAAAAAGAAAAAGAAAAGGCAAAGTGTAATGCCTGTTAATAGCTTGCCACAGGCATAGCTCAGTTAAAATAAAGCACAGCTATTGTGCAATACATTTGTATTGCATGTATATTTTTTAGTAACAATTTCAGTTAAAGCTTTTAAGAATAATATATTTTTGTTATCTAAACGTTTGACCTCTTTATTTTACAATTTTGGAATCGAAACGGGGAATCGATAAGAACCGGAATCGATAAGCAGAACCGGAATCGAAATCGGAATCGATACATTTCAAACGATACCCATCCCTAGTTAGAAGTGCTTCTTAGTAACCATGATGTACCTGATAGTGACAATCTGGCCCACATCCAGATGGTAGTCATTCAGCTGGGCGATGAAGATGGCTGCCACCGCCTCATACAGTGCCGTCCCATCCATGTTGATGGTGGCCCCCACAGGGAGGACGAAGCGGGTGATCCGCTTGTCGATGCGATTGTTCTCCTCGGCACATCGGAAGGTGACAGGCAGGGTGGCAGAGCTGAAGGACAAGAGAGCAGCTGGCTTGGAATGGTTTTCATTTACAAATATAAGAATGTTAAAATTCCTGATTTGGATTTACAAGCAGTGTCATAGATTCTGACCTGGAGGAGATCATGAGTGCTGTCACCAGGGCCTGGGCCATTCCCAATGTGAAGGTATACGGGTTCTTCCTCACAATGACGAAGAAGATAAGTGGCAGACAGATGGTGGCGTGGATAGCCAGACTGAGGAACAAAACAAACATTATTAAACACTGAAAAAACTGAAAAGTTGACTTTAATTAAATGTAATATGTCAAGAAAATACACATAATTGTGTTAGGTTAGTCGAAAGCAATAATTTTACGTTTAAATAAAAACATATTCACTTTCAAATACATTCATGTGAAATCTGTTGACATAATTCATTTAATGAAAGTCAACGTTTTTTCAGTGTACTGTAGAAAGATGTTCTCTATCCTGTATAACAAGCAAAGTATAGGTCTTTAAAAAAAATAGGTACATTTTCATAGAGTTAGTTAGTTCTGTGCCACATTATGTGTTTTATAAACCCAGACGTTATAAAAAAAAGTGTTGACTATCATTTATATTCATACATTGAACCCGCTATTTATAGCTTTAGTTTTTAAGAACTATCCACGGCAGACTGGGTTTAATCCGTCCGGCATTATTAAAAGAATAGTTAAATATGTGAGGAAATGATTTGCTTTCTTATAAGAATAAGTAGTTAGCTTAGTCTAGCTTAAAAGTGGAAGCACGGATTAACAGCTAGCTGGTTTTTTCACCAGTATACAAATAATGCCTACCAACAAAATTGCTGACTGACAATTGGTTATCTGGTCACAAGTCTTTATGCTAAGCTAAGCTAACAGCCGTCCTGGTGCTAGCTAGGTATTAACATCTTGCTCTCAGATAACAACACATTAAGGTTATTTAACGACATGATGAACTATTTATTGGAAGCATAACATATGTATATGATAGGGGGAAATGCACTTAGGGTAGAAGATGCTCTTTTTCAGGCTCAGATGTAGCTAAAAGCCAGCTAGAAAGGATTCTGACTCTCTTTATTATCGGCTAGCTGACTCAGCTCAGAGCCCAAACAATTACTCTGTTTGATGGTCTTTTAAATAAACAGAACTTTAAATAGATTGCAGCTACAGAGCTTATAAAAAAGCACTTTTGGAGAGATTTGACTTTACTTTGACATTAACGAGGCTTTTTCTGTTGATCAAGTCAAAAACTTTTAATCACCTTCGCTGTGATTCATAGTCATAAAGCAATGATGCAGGGAGAAGTTTTGTATAGGTCCTGAAAGCTGCCTCTGAACATTTGAACAAAGTGTGAACATTATGTGTTGTCACAGTTCCACCGGAGCTTTGGACCAACCCTGTGACCTAACTGGAGCGGATTTACTGTAGGCTTTAATGGTGTCACTTAGATTTAGAGGCATGGGCGTAGCTCATTACTGCATCTGCAGGTTGAGCAGTTTTAAATGTCCTTGGCCCTTATCAGTGCATACACAGAGCTCAGCTTTTACTGTATCACTGGAGGGAGAAATGGCCAAAAATGTCAACCATAAATCCCGGCGTCTGGAACAGTCGGATACAGAATAATGGCACAGTTTACCCGCTCAGCACCGTCACCATATAAAGACCCATCTTCTTGAAGATCTCCCAGTCTTCCACCTCGATAATCTTAGCAGCAATTAGGAACAGGATCCCTACTGGCATGTAGCTGAAAAAACACATTTAGCTGTGGTCACTTGGGGGTCAGAAGAAGATTATAGAACATTTGATGAATTAAGACTTAAGTCATATAACAGAAAAAGAATCAGTACAAAGTAGAATTATTGATTAATAATTCACATGTAAATTGTCTTTAAAGGTTTAAAATAAAAATCACTGGTTCTAGCTTCTCAAAGACAATGAAACCAAGTTGCTCATGACGGACAGCTCCACCATCATTGGTGTATACATGTATGTATGTTAATGGAGAATAGTTATCCTGTTATCCAAGGTGCTATATAAATACAATCCATTTACGTTTATTAGCCTGCCAAGCTAGTGATCAGTAATAATAATAATAATACATTTATTTTATACAGGCGCCTTTCAAGGCTCTCAAGGTCGCCGTAGAAACACACAAAAAACAAGATACACAATACATAACACCAGCATAAGAAACATAAACAAGACAACGCAGTATATAACAAATCAAATAAACAAAACAGAGGATGTGTGATGGATAACGATCAGGGTGGATATGAGAGTGTGAAGAGATGTGTTTTGAGACGTGATTTGAAAATGGGGAGAGAGTCAGTGTTAATAGACGGTGTTTGTGGTCTAGCTTCTCTTCATTAGGAATAGTTAAGCAACACTACAGTTGAATTGAAAATAGCACTGCTCCACTACTTTAGACTGTGAGCGCTTAAGGCAGGGGGCAGAGAGTGGCCTACAACAGGAAGTGATGATTAACAGCAGGGGAACCAGGAGTTCTGTAGCCGCTGTTCTGACCTTGTTCAATGCACCTGTTGGTAACAAGGATTGATGTTACGTTGTAAACTGCAATGCAACCATTTTTCATGGAGGCTCTTTTTTGTAATTATGAATCCTTTGGAATAAAGACAAAGACATATATTGTATTTAGTATTGATTTGCTCTTCATCTAAGCCCTAACTGTACGCAACTGACACAAATGTTTGTTTGCCACGAGAATACTTGATAAAAATGATCTTAATATCATAACTCAATGTTATAACTTTAGCCTTTTTTACGACAATACCGCACATATTTCATTTTATTATTAGTATTTTGTCCTACATCTATATTTCATGGTAATATTTCTCTATATTTTAATGATATAATCGTTTTTTATAATAGTTTTTATGAAAATGTATCTTCATTAACTGTGTTTATGTATGCACCATATACACCAAGGAAAGTTCCTTGTATGTGTAAACCTACTTGGTAATTAACCTGATTCTGACAACCCAGAAACTCTAGTAAGTGGACCTTGAGTTGAGATTTGTTTTTGTAAAATATATGTTTCCCTATCTCATAAATTATTATCTTTGAGAAGACAAAAAAGTTGTGTCAGATTTGGCAAACTACGTTTTATTCCCTTTCCGATTCATTCTCCAAAAGACTCAAAAAGTGCATTGTTCTGTCCTCCATGTTTTCAAACTGACAGAATAATAAGGTGTTCACAATGCAGCTTGTATATGTTGTAAACCCATACTTGTAGATTAGGAGTGTAAACAAATATCCATCATCTTTTGTGCTAATGCATCGATTTTCAAACACACATTTTCATTAATAGTTGATATGCAAATATGAACTCAGTCAATATTTAATTTGCAAAGATATGACCGCTCAGTGTACTCCATTGTTCTGATTACATTAAAAAAGGATGTTTTGCCAATGATGATTATTCTTTATATTATTACATATTTTTGTATAAAGATATTCCAAAAATATTGCCTTAATGAAATGACTGCATTAAACACTTTTGCAATATATTGTGTTGCAACTATTCTATCGTCATCGTAACGCAGATTCTTCCAATGCACAGCTCTACTGTAGACAGATCTCTCATACACACCACATGATGATGTTGACCAGCCTCATGGTGGCTTCATTCAGAGCATCAAAGAATTCCAGGAGTATCCGACCCTTTTCTCCCATCTTCCCAATGACAAGGCCAAAAGCAACACAGAACACGATGAGCCCCAAAACGTTGATTCCATCCGAATATGAGCCAACGATCTTATATTCCTTGGTTATGTTCTGCCGGGAGAGGAGACAAGGAGGTTATTCATTCAGCGACCAAGAGCAGGTCAGGAAGCTGCATCACACTCACATCAGCTCTCTAAAGGGCCATTGATGCGCTGTGCAAATGTTTCTAGAGAATCTCAGCCCAATGACCCATGGACACTTATGACCCATTACAGGGTCTTCTGATGCATTTAGATCAGACGCTGGTTGCCAGGTGCAGAAACACGAGACTTAAAGTGCAGCAGACGGATCAACAAGGACACTCTGTTGTCATGTAAAGATCAAAACCCCAATGTTAGTGGATGTTTCCAACAGGAGACAATGGTGGACTCTGGGGCACCTGTAGCTCAGTAATGTATTAAAGCACGAGGTGGGAGAAGTACTCAGATCTTGTATTTAAGTCAAAGTAAATTGTACGAATACTCTGTTACAAGTAGAAGTCTTGCGTATTGAGATCAAAATAAAGTAACAAGAGTAAAAGTAGTCGTTGTGCAGATTGGTCCATTTCAGAATAATATATATGATATGTTTTATAATGATTGATCATGAAAGTGTTCTCAAAGCTGGTGAAGGTGCAGCTAGTCTGAATGACTTTGTATACTGCAGGGTAGCTGGTGGATTTACTCCAGGTGGAACTAAAGTCTGATTCAACACTTGATTAGATTTCACATCATTCATCCACATCTGTGAAGTAACTAAAGTATTAAATACATGTAGTGGAGTAAAAGTACACCATTTACCTCTGAACTGTAGTGGAGTAGAAGTACAAAGTAAAGTAGCAACAAATTGAAATACGCTAGTAGGGTAAAAGTACCTCAAAGTTGTACTTAAGTACAGTACTTGAGTAAATGTACTTAGTTACTTTACACCAATGGTTAAAGCATGAAGGAACTGCCTTCTCTAAATGAGCAGAAGGTTAATGTGCACACCTACCTCTACCACCGACATGATAGCGGTTGTGAGGGGGGGGATGGTGGTGGTGTTGTTGTTGGAAACCTTGGGAGGGTCCAACTCTTTGCGCTTGGTCTTGTACTAGAGGGTGACCACATTTCACAACATCAGAGTAACATTCACGTTAAGCTTTAAATGACACTTAAACATGGATATGTCATTGGAGAAAGGATGAGAGATGGATGTGTGTCTCACCTGCTGAAAACAAGCCTGCACCAGATTTTCGGGGAACATGTTTCTGTTGAAAGGTAAAACAAGATTAAGCCTGAATGAAAAACACAGTTGAGGTGTCCTAAATTCAGACAGAAGGCTCCATTCAAAATCCAGGAGAGAATGCTTTTAATATTCATAAAGAGGATGTTAATGTGGTCACGTTCTATGAGGCAAGGCAACCTAAACACTCAAATCTGAAGATACTTTACTGGAAGATGCCAACAATGTGTCAACACAATGCTTCGGGGAGATTACATTTTTAGTACAAGCTGTACATTGTTTTCAACCAAAGCAATTGTCTTGCATCAAGAAACTAAAAGTTGGGTATGTATAATTCAGAGCTGTGGAATCAGTCACAAAGTACTTTTTGGCCAAGCGTACAGAACAAACACTTGACGAACTGACAGTGTAGCAAAGAGTGTCTTTCACTTTTTAGTGTTTTTTTATTGCTGTTAACATGTCGGATGAGGGAGGAGGACGGAAAGTACGAGAGCTCATACAATCTTATTTATAGTTGAGTAATGTGCCTGACTTCAATCACATACCGTATCTAACTTAAAGGGGACCTATCAAGCAAAATGCACTTTTGTACGTCTTTTATACATGACTATGTGTCCCCGGTGTGTCAGGGAACTCACCAAGTGTCAGAAAACACAACCCTCTCTCTTTTCCTCCATACCCAAATCTCTAAAAACGGGGCTGCAACGGAGCTGATTATTATTTGAATCTTTCTGACGTCAGAAAAGGGGAGCTCCGCCTATATGGGCAACTCTCCACCTATCAGGGGAATGAGAGACCGCTCGAAAGCGCTGGAGACGCTGTAGTACATATGCCAGGCCTGTAGGTGGCGCTGTAGTCTGCCACAAAAGCAGAATCAGCCCAGCCAGGGCTGGAAAAGAGCAAATAGAGCGAAATGAGGCATGGCTAAAATGCATGATCTGTTTGGTATTTTGAAAACAAAACTTCACAGACATGTTTTGTATAGGTATGGCAGAAAAGTCCTGCATTTCAAATCTTACTTTAGTAAAAGTGCAAAAGTATTGGCTTCAAAATATAAAATATTGTATGTGATTACTAGATTATAATTATTGATGTTTTAATCACAGCTGGTAAAAGTGGAGCTACTTTTAACTTGATATTCTACTGCTGGATATCTTTACACATCATTATTTATCATAGTTTATTTATATGTTGTATAAACTAATAATCCTAATCTGTAAAGAAACTAGTCACTAACTTTGTCAAATAAATGTAGTTGAATATTGTCTTCCAAATTGTAGTGTAGTAAAAGTATAAAATAGCACTATAATTATTCTCAAGTACAAGTACCCAAAATCGTGTGACAGTACAGTCATTAAAGTAAATGTACTTTTCACCACTACTTTATTGTACATTACATCATTGCTTGATATGCGTAGCAAATGTAATTATTTGAACCCAAACCGGGACATTTTATTTACCTAACCAAGTGGTTTTGTGGCCTGAACCTAAGTTATGCCGAGCGTCCGTATGTGACGAGCGGATTGTATTAGGAACACTTTAATGGAGTGTTGGGTGTACATTTAGAGGAAGTATATATATGTTCTTACTCAACTCACTACTTCTTTCCTATTTGTATAACTTAGTGTAACACCAAGAACACTTTTGAGGAGGGACTTTCGGTCATTTTCTCCATTAGTCTGATGACTGACTGATCACCACAAGTATTTCAGTTATAATTATCAGGGGAAAACGTCATTCATGTCAACATCTAGATGAGTTAACACTTCATGGTTATGAGGGATTGGTGTCACATGGTGGGGGGGGTCACCTGATGAGGTCCAGGAGGGTGTCCACTGTGGTGACGTTGGGCGTGATTCCAGCTCTGTCGATGTGATCAGCTGTTTGAGACACTCCTGGTTTGATCGTCATCACCAAAGTGATCCCTGCAAAGAATGACAGTATTCCTGTCAGGACAACTCCACTCATTGAACCACTTCTTTCACATAGCACTATTTAAGTTCACTGAAATGAACAGGAGACTTAAAGCAGTTCCTGTGAGAATTAGAGAGGAGAAGAAACTCACCAAGAACCACTGCGATGATGGTGGTTGAGAAGTAATAGACTACAGCTCGCAGACCTATCTTCCCCGACACCTCAGAATCCAGGGCTGCAACACCTGGACAAAAAGCACAATCTTTTATTCAAATCAACGCCAAAAGATTGTCCCAGCAGGGTTCAGAAGAAAAGACTGAAGATGTTGGAAAGTGATCTGATCAAGCTGTTATTTAAAAGCTTCAATCTTTTCCTTGTGCATATACATCATTTCTCTGATGAAAATGATCTCAAAACTGGATTTGTAACCACTCAATCAACACTCGTGGCATTGCAGCCCAGTCTACTAAAAGTAACGTTCACATACAACAAAACAGCTTTGTCCTTTTTGGCATTTTTCCGATTGTTGAGAGGACAGGAAACACGGAAAGATTGGAGTTGTTGGAGCTTCTATTATTTTATAATCAAACATTTATTTTTCAGCAGTTTTTGTTTATTTAATGTAACATAATTTATTTTAATTATTTTAGTTAATTAAAGTAATCCTATATATTTTTCATTATGAAGGCGGTTTCGGCACCTGGTGATAATGTATTTACTGGAGACCTGTGGTGGTGGGATTGGAGCACTAGAGAGGGGCCGTGTAATCCACAGGTACCATTGTTCTATACAGCATACATGGATTATTGGAATACTACTAAATAAATGCATGCAAGACGATGTTTTTGCCAGGACATTGAACACTTTTCCTGATTTGCTTACTGGTGCCCTACCGGCAGTTTATTTTGAGTTAAATGTTTTTTTTTTTTTCTTATGATTTAGCCGCTACAGAAGTTCCAAATGAAATGCATCAAAGCCCCTCAGCTTGATGTGAAAACTGTCTGCACCTTAACCCCTCAGGGGGTGAAAGTGTAGGGAAGCAAATGTTCTCCTGGCTGCACACATATAGAATCAATATGTGATTTAGTCCAAAACCATTCAAGATCCTTTCCTATCCAAATCACAGCCTTGACAAGTTCTGTATTAATCAACAAGACCATTTGTATTACAGTCCTAGCTGATTGTACTGCTTTAGTGGGCCTCACCTTCTCCCTGGGCACATTGTATGTCTGAGGGGGTAAAGGAGGGTCCGGGCCTGGTACCTATAACCACAGGCTCCGTATGAGAAGGATCCAGCTAACAGTGAGTGAGGTACGCAGGTGGGGAAAACTCAGGGGAAATGCAGGTGGAAAAAACAAATCCTCCAAGTCATCAACAAACCAAACTGCTTCTCCAAGGAACAATCAGCCTTGCTGTGCTGAGGGTGAGCTGAAGGGGTTAGTGAGAGAAGATGTAATGCAGCTCCTGAGTGACATATCTCAACAGTAAACTGGATGATCTGTTAGCCTGCTGTCTTCTTGTCAAGTGAATGTTACTCCCATTTCCTGTCTCAAGACAGCAGAACTAAGGACATTTAGACGGTTATCCTACCTGTTATGCATTCAGACTGCAAACACTCTGATGCACTGCTCTGAGAAATGTGAATGTGACATCTTTTAAATCAAAACTCATCTTTTTTATTAAAGCTTTTATCTACTGATGACACCACTCAGTTTAATTCGACATCCATGTTCTATTTGTTTTACTTTCTTATTTTGTATTACTGTTTCTATTGTTCAAACACGGTATATTTCATTGGGTGGGGCATTTTGACCGCATGCTCTGACAGTCTGGTTTTAATCCATGTAAAGCACTTCTGGTTATTATTATTATTATTAATACATTATTTTAGTTCTGCAACTATTCTCTTCTATTATTTTTGTTTAGATTTGTAATGGTGAATTTCTCTTGGCCTTTCAGTTTCCTACTTTTGATCAGACAATTGTTAAGCTCTTTGAGAATCAATTGATGAATTGTTAAATTATTGTTTGAAATAGTAGATTATGTTAATCACAATTCCCACAGAAGACCTCATTATTATTTATCTTTTGAAAGTATGAAATGTAATGTAGTAGTGTTTGTGCCCTCACATTCCCTTCTGCATCACTGCTCATTGGGATTGTTGTTGACTGCCTGCATGAACTCAATATACACACATTGCAGTAAACCACTGTGAGTAGAGGTGCAGCCAGTAATAATCCCGCTCAGGTTACCTGTTATCATGCTTGAGATGATGAGTGGGAGGATGACCAGCTTCAGCATCCGCATGAGGATCTCTCCTGGGAAGCCGAAATACTGCTTGTGGAGCTGTGAGAGGGACGCATACTCTCTGACCAGGACGCCCAGACTGATCCCTGATCAGAGAAACACAGGACAACGTCATGAAGTTTCAAAGGTTTTATCATCATGTGCACAGCAGCTACAGTGTGGAAATGGAAATCTGAAGTCCCAGGTTCCTCCAACAATGCAACATTAATATGACATAAAACAATAAAACACATTTTTAAATAAACAGAGAAGAATAGATTAGAGTACAATAGTGCGGGTTATGTTGCAGACCAATATGCAAGTAATGCAGATGAAGTGAACTATAAACATGTCAGAAAATAAATAAATACAGTAAGCTAAATAATGCAGAGTGTTGTAAGTGACCAAGTAAATGCAGGAGCCTAAATACATGTACATAGAATAAGATAGACAAGAACATAATGTAAAATTAAATATTGTACAGTAAAATCAAATCAAATACTGTTTATTGTAGTGATAAATAATTAATAAATTGTACAATTCTAAGGCTAAAGAAAAAATTGGAAATGCAACATTTTATCAGGTATGATGTCGCTCAAATAAATGCAGCATTTTCTCTGCATAAGCAACTGTCACTGTCACATTTTTAAAAGGTCAGCAAGGTTTCATCCTTTAGGAATTCATGAGGCACAACACACATTATCATTTCCAGCTATTAACTTCACATGCATCCCACTCAATGATTCTATCTGTTATCACACATAACAGACCCCATTAGGACGCTTGTAAAACACTGCAATGACACAGCAAACTGCATGGGATGCTACGACTGAACTATGCTATCAGAACATGACATACACCTGATGGAAGCACTGGAGTTCAGTCACTGATTCAATACATAGGCTGTTGGGTGATTGTTCACCAGAGCCAGCAGCAGGTTGATCTGCACCAAACACACTGAAAGATGCCACCCGTCGCCCCAGTTGAATGGTTTCTTATATTCAAAGCACTAGTCTGAAACTGGTAGGGATAGAAACAAGAACATTAATGGAGCACTTCCATCCAGCCTCCACAGCCTGTATGTGAATAGAGTATATATCTTCATAATTTCTCACGTTTTCAATCCCAAGAAATAGATCATTTGATAGAAATACAAGCTGATTGCTTTGAAAAGGTGGACATTTGGCCAGGAAAAATACTATCAAGAAATAAGCAGGGTGGTGGCTCACTGCCTGTCTACTTCTACTAAAAGTAAACGATTTGTGTAGTTACATTGCAGGTACAAAACATTTGATTTCTTTCTGAGAGTGACATGAGAAGCATATGGATTCATATCTGGGTAAAGCGCTACAGAGCTGGAGGCCGGACTTGGTGAGCATAGCTTAGCATAACGACTGGGAGCAAGGGACGCCTCTGGAGATCAGTATAAGACAGTGAATATCTCTATTCAGCTGTGACAATCTACCGCTCGTTTGAAAGGTCTAAAGAACGTCCCCCACTCTTTTGTTGCCCAAAAAATTGCTACGGTATGTTGCCATATTACCATTCTATTTAACGATGTGTAACTGTTGCACGGTTAATTGAATCATGTTGTATTGAACGTAATGAAAATAAACGGCTTGGTTTCTTTAAGGTAACTAAATAACTAAGGAAAAGGAATGGGGAAAAAAAAACTTGTTTAGGGTAGGGAAAAGATTTTGGTTTGAGATAAAATAAGTACGGAACCTATTTTACACGTGACGTATGTGTTTATGCAATTTAGCTGCATACTATCATAGCTACACAGTTGCGTAAATGTTAGCACAACATTAGTTTGACCTTTGATTTCACATGGGACACGATCTCCGGTGAATGTCGTGTTGTGATTTCTCCGGCCAATAGAGGACACCATTATCACAATAAACCATAAACAACCTGTGCTCATTTTTCGGTGTGGGATTTGGGCTTGTTTTTAAACCCTTTCCCTATAAACATTTTTAATGAGAAACTATATGGTATATTTTAAACTGAATACATGGAATTTATGATTTATAATGACAAGTCTCTTCCCAAAGTCTCTCAAATGTGTGTTAATCATTTAGCTCTCCTGGTGCGCTCAGGTGTTTGGCAGTATGTATAATGCTGTGGCAGGGGGGGTTTCTGAACTTTGAACAGAGACAGGCTCTGCTGGATGGTTAAACCTAAACCAGAACATCTGATGTATTATTATTTAGAAACATTGTGTGTCAAAATCTGAGTTTATAAACTAACTAGTAAATAAAGCTTCCAAAATGAATTGGGGTTGAAGTGTAGATAAGTATAAAATGAAAATATTTGGGTAAAGTACAAGCCAAAATGTGTACTAAAGTACAGTACTTGAGTAAATGTAAACGTTACTTTCCACCACTGGCTACAGGTCTGCATTAAACACAGATTGAGATTGATATTGAGCTCAATGTCAGAACCATAGCAAATAACCCTGAATTAAAATAGTCCTTTAACATATACAGTCTGAATGTGGATCCATCCCTAAGATTGTGCTACACTGTGCCCTGCTGCAGGCTGAGGGCACTGCTCACAGATCCAGCATCAGCTGTCACTTTAGTCTGGTCACGCTTGACTGAGACACTTCCAGACTGCTCTCTGCTCTGGAGGACAGAGACTCACTCACACCACCCCACCATTATTAAAGGAAAGATGGTCATGAATGAACATAGGTTATCCTAACACACAGGTACTGGTGCTGTTCGTCAGCTGGTGCAAAACAGCTTGATTTATATCAGCAGTGACAGCAGCTGGATGCAACAGCCAGGACAAAGAGTGGCACAGAAACAGCAGGAATATGAACGCATTCTCTCTACATCAGCAGGCATTCCACATACCGAGCACCACGGAGAAAATCGTGGCGATCAGAAGCCAGTTCCTCTTCAGCAAGCCCTTGAAATGCACGCCTCGTCGTTGTTTGTTACCCATCATGTCAATATCGTTTTAATGCTCCAAAAAATGAGGGAGAATCACAATGGCCCCGCGGAGACAGACAGTCTGCGGCCGGGATGTGAGGTGCAGCCGCCGCAGAGAGGATGGAGAGCCGCGCTGAAAGAGAGGCGGCGGAGGACTGGTGGCCGCGAGGCTGTGTGTGTGTGTGTGTGTGTGTGTGTGTGTGTGTGTGTGTGTGTGTGTGTGTGTGTGTGTGTGTGTGTGTGGGTGTGTGTGTGTGTGTGTGTGTGTGTGTGTGTGTGTGTGTGTGGTGTGTTGTGTGTGTGTGTGTGTGTGTGTGTGAGAGTGTGTATCAGGGTAGGCTATGTGTGAGTGTCCTGGAGAGGAGGAATGAGGGAGGGAGCGAGACCGTCTCCCTCCCCCACACAAGGTGTCTCTGACATGTTCTGCTTTTTACCATGCAGTGACACCATGTGTAAGGAATTATAGCATAACATCCCCATTTGGAAACACATTTGGAAAACACAAAGGATGATTCTAGAAAAACTAATCACATCTCTTTTCTGTTTCAAAAGGGATGGCTTCAAAACTTTACCCAAAGGTAAGTGTTTCCCTGAAGATCCCTCTGTGAATCATACAATAATCCCTGTCATCCCTGATGGCCCACTAGAAGTGTGGATGTGTTGGTCTGCTCCACAAACTCTGTTTTTTTTTATAACGCAATAGGCTACTCTCACTTCAGATTATTTATTTTTTCTCCTAGGCACAAGACAAAAGTAGATCGGCCTCTTATTTTGTCCCACCCAAATGTAATGATTTATATATGTCTGAAACTCATAATAAAAGACAACTGAAAACGACTTGGAATCGTTGCAGAATAAGATAATGGTAAATTCGCTTTCAATTTCATTTTAGATGTTAGGTCCTATTCTGCTTTTTGGGGTTCTCCCTCTCCTGTGTTCAACCCGGTATCACGGCAATACGTGAACATGTGACGATTCACCATGCTGGGAGACGTGAATATGTCACGATTTCGTCCCTTCAAACGTGACAGTTACACGGTATTGTTAACCCATGTTAACCAGTGGAGAAATACTCGGAAATGCCAAGCAAATGCTACCCGACTGTCGGTTGTTATTGTCAATATTAATATAATAATGATTTATTTGTAATAGTCACACTCGATTACGCCGATTTTCTTGGTCGACTCCTCTTTGAGCAGAAACAAAGGCTACATTAATGTATTAAATCGATGTTAATCCATGCGTGTGGATGTGGAATTAACAGACGTGACGTTGTACGATTGCTTGCCAGGCAACAGCTTCTTCGGTTCATGTTCATGTACAAACTCTTCAACTACAACCATAGTTATATTTAAAAACATGTTAGAAGGCCTCACGAAATACTTTAATGTAAATTTAAATTTAAATGTGAAGGAATGTGTGTATAACAAAATACATCTGTCATAAACGAAACCAGAAACAGAGGTAGTCAAGATCCTCAGCCCGATGCATAAACGGCGCACAGCTGATAGAAAGGGACACCTGGTGGTTAAAGCACGTTATTGAATTTATTATTTGTATTATTAGATATTAATAGGAGGAGTGCAAAACAGACAAACTAATAAGGCTTAATTTAAACATTAAAGAGTACTTTAGGTTAAGGTCTTCTTTTGAATAAGAAAAAAGCTTTGGGGGTATAGAAGAAGAATATGGAGGGATGAAACCCTCTTTAATGGTCACACATGCAGAGCACACAGCACACACAGTGACATTTGTATCTACAGATAAATATTAAGCCTGACAAAGTACTTAAGTCTAATATATTGCTTTCCTGCAATGTTAACTATGTTGAAGCACTTATTTTAACTGATATTATACATATGTATTATACTCTTATAAGATGTATGTAGATAGTATAAGAAATGTGCAGAATGACAGTTTAATGGTGGAGGTATACACACATATTGATAGATGTCTTGTAATGCACTGTTGAGGAACCTGCGACCCAAGTTTTTCATTCATTGCATAACTACACCGTAGTTGTGTATAATATGATATGTCAATAAACCTTAGAAAATCTTGAAATCTTGAAAGGGATGTGCAAACTAGTCATTATATACAGTCTTTAATTAACTATTAGTAGAGAATAACGAGTAATGAATATACTTTATAGGGATCCTATATAATATCTAATAATAATAATAAATTCAATAACGTGCTTTAACCACCAGGTGTCCCTTTATATCAGCTGTGCACCGTTATGGTGTAAATACAGCCTATCTACCAATTGGATCAAATATAAAAGTCAGCCGAATTAGTGTTGATACTGCAAGGAGACGTATTGTGTGAAAAGAAATGTAAGATGTTGTTTAATTGCTTATATTTATGATCCACGTCACGTTTTCAGTTTTGGCGGCAGTTCTCCTGTTTGTCTAGAAGTCTTCTCAGCAGGGCTCTATAAATAGAGAACTACGGCAGATATGTAATATTTATGCAGCCGAACCGTGTATTACAATGCCGTTATGTGATGACTTTCAAAGAGAAAAGCAAGCACACTCGGAATAAAGTATTATTTTATTTAAAAATGTTTTCGGATTTCACATCGCATAACACCAAATCCCAGTGTGCATTGCGGCTAAACCATCCAATCATCGAGCTGAGGATCTTGCCTACGTCTGTTTCCGGTTTGTTTATGATGATATATTAATGTAGCCTTTGTTTCTGCTAAAAGGTGTCGACCAGCTGGGGCAACAAGAAAATCGGCGTAATCGAGTGTGACTATTAAAAAATAAATCATTATTATATTAATATTGACATACAACAGGTCGGGGTAGCATTTGCTTGGCATTTCCGGGTATTTCTCCACTGGTTAACATGGCTTAACAATACCGTGTAACTGTCACGTTTGAAGGGACGAAATCGTGACATCTTCACGTCTCCCAGCATGGTAATCGTCACATGTTCACGTCTTGCCGTGATACCGGGTTGCCTGTGTTCTATAGGTTTGTGTCCCCCCCTGCCTAAAAAACGCCTCCATTGGAATCCTTTGTTTATTTCAAGAACATATCACTAAGGAACAGCCCTGCTCCTAGCACTCCAACACATTGTACGTATGGGCTAAGGTGCGGGACATCTCTAAGCGATTGACCAATCGACTGGGCCTCAGACAGAGGGTGAAAAGAGGTGCTGCAGGCTGCAGCACAGGCAGTATGCGAGAAATAGAGCTTTTTGAACATTAAAGCATGGAGACATGTCACAGTAGAGACACTACATACTGAACACCTGAACATAATCAGGAGAGGAGTCTTTAAAGTAGAGACACTACATACTGATATACACCTGAACATCATCAGGAGATGACTCTTTCAAGTAGAGACACTACATACTGATATACACCTGAACATCAGCAGGAGAGGACTCTTTAAAGTAGAGACACTACATACTGATATACACCTGGACATCAGCAGGAGAGGACTCTTTAAAGTAGAGACACTACATACTGATATACACCTGAACATCAGCAGGAGAGGACTCTTTAAAGTAGAGACACTACATACTGATATACACCTGAACATCAGCAGGAGAGGACTCTTTAAAGTAGAGACACTACATACTGATATACACCTGAACATCAGCAGGAGAGGACTCTTTAAAGTAGAGACACTACATACTGATATACACCTGAACATCAGCAGAGAGGACTCTTTAAAGTAGAGACACTATATACTGATATACACCTGAAAATCAGCAGGAGAACACTCTTTAAAGTAGAGACACTACATGCTGATATACACCTGAACATCAGCAGGAGAGGACTCTTTAAAGTAGAGACACTACATACTGATATACACCTGAACATCAGCAGGAGAGGACTCTTTAAAGTAGAGACACTACATACTGATATACACCTGAACATCAGCAGGAGAGGACTCTTTAAAGTAGAGACACTACATACTGATATACACCTGAGCATCAGCAGGAGAGGACTCTTTAAAGTAGAGACACTACATACTGATATACACCTGAGCATCAGCAGGAGAGGACTCTTTAAAGTAGAGACACTACATAATATGAATCTGAAAATGAGCAGGACAGGACTATCCATTAGGATGAAGTATTATGTGTTGCCATTTGTACACTTATAATAATGCTCTAAGAATAGATAAACCTGTCTCGTCATCCACCTCTTAGTGTGGTATTTGATCAACATTTCAGTAATAAAAGTAAAAGTACTCGATTTGCAGAAAGAAAAAGACAGTGTCTGACATAATAGCACATTATTATCTATGTTTAAGCAACAGTTTTTTGATTTTCACAAATCTTTAATGTTTTGTTCGATATTGGATTATTTAAATAGGCAAGGCAAGGCAAGTTTAATTTGTGTGTCATCTGCATAGCTATGGTAACTTATTTTGTTGTTTTTCATTATCTGAGCCAGTGGTAGCATGTAGATGTTAAAGAGAAGAGGCCCCAGGATGGAGCCTTGAGGTACCCCACATGTCATATTTGTCAACTCAGATGTGTATTTACCTATAGAAACAAAGTTGTTTCTGTCCTTTAAGTAGGATTCAAACCAGTTTAGAACCGTTTCCGAAAGTCCCACCCAGTTTTCCAGTCGGTCTAGTAATATGCTGTGGTCAACAGTGTCAAACGCAGCACTGAGATCTAATAATACTAACACTGAAGTTCTGCCACTTTCTGTGTTTAAGTGGATGTCATTGAAGACCTTTACAAGAGCAGTCTCAGTGCTGTGGTTTGGACGAAAGCCTGACTGGAACACATCAAAACAGTTATTTAAATGCAAGAAATTACTCAACTGTTGAAAAACAACTTTTTCAATGATTTTACCTAGAAATGGCAGGTTTGATATGGGCCTGTAATTGTTCATTACTGAAGCATCTAGATTATTCTTTTTAAGAGCGGTTTAATGACTGCAGTTTTCAGGGCCTGTGGAAAAATACCTGAGTGAAGAGATTTGTTTACTATATGAAGTAGATCTGAGGCCATGCAAAGCAAACATCTTTGAAAAATCCTGTTGGAATAATATCAAGGCAGGAGGAGGATTTCAGAAGTTGTATAATGTCCTCTAGGTTTTTATCATTAATCTGATGGAATTGTGTCATGGTGTTTGAATTGATGTTAAGTGGAGATAGGGACAACACATTTGCTGTTCCTGATGCAGAGGCACTGACTGCTTGTCTGATTTTCTGAATGTTGTCAGTGAAGAAGGAGGCAAAATCATTGGTGGATAGAAATTCAGAGGCTACTGACACT